AAGGGAGAGAGCAGTAAGCTCATGGGATAGACGCTCCTCAAGGCGTCTTCACGAGAGAAAGCCGTCCAGCTGCTGGTTGAAGAGGTTGGAGCTCAGGTCCCTGTGTGGATGGCAGAAACAAGGGAGAGAGCAGTAAGCTCATGGGATCGACGCTCCTCAAGGCGTCTTCACGAGAGAAAGCCGTCCAGCTGCTGGTTGAAGAGGTTGGAGCTCAGGTCCCTGTGTGGATGGCAAAAACAAGGGAGAGAGCAGTAAGCTCATGGGATAGACGCTCCTCAAGGCGTCTTCACGAGAGAAAGCCGTCCAGCTGCTGGTTGAAGAGGTTGGAGCTCAGGTCCCTGTGTGGATGGCAAAAACAAGGGAGAGAGCAGTAAGCTCATGGGATAGACGCTCCTCAAGGCGTCTTCACGAGAGAAAGCCGTCCAGCTGCTGGTTGAAGAGGTTGGAGCTCAGGTCCCTGTGTGGATGGCAAAAACAAGGGAGAGAGCAGTAAGCTCATGGGATAGACGCTCCTCAAGGCGTCTTCACGAGAGAAAGCCGTCCAGCTGCTGGTTGAAGAGGTTGGAGCTCAGGTCCCTGTGTGGATGGCAAAAACAAGGGAGAGAGCAGTAAGCTCATGGGATAGACGCTCCTCAAGGCGTCTTCACGAGAGAAAGCCGTCCAGCTGCTGGTTGAAGAGGTTGGAGCTCAGGTCCCTGTGTGGATGGCAAAAACAAGGGAGAGAGCAGTAAGCTCATGGGATAGACGCTCCTCAAGGCGTCTTCACGAGAGAAAGCCGTCCAGCTGCTGGTTGAAGAGGTTGGAGCTCAGGTCCCTGTGTGGATGGCAAAAACAAGGGAGAGAGCAGTAAGCTCATGGGATAGACGCTCCTCAAGGCGTCTTCACGAGAGAAAGCCGTCCAGCTGCTGGTTGAAGAGGTTGGAGCTCAGGTCCCTGTGTGGATGGCAAAAACAAGGGAGAGAGCAGTAAGCTCATGGGATAGACGCTCCTCAAGGCGTCTTCACGAGAGAAAGCCGTCCAGCTGCTGGTTGAAGAGGTTGGAGCTCAGGTCCCTGTGTGGATGGCAAAAACAAGGGAGAGAGCAGTAAGCTCATGGGATAGACGCTCCTCAAGGCGTCTTCACGAGAGAAAGCCGTCCAGCTGCTGGTTGAAGAGGTTGGAGCTCAGGTCCCTGCTCAGGTCGCCGCGTGAGGGGGGTGATGTGATGGGGGTGATGCGATGGGGGTGATGCGATGGGGTTGATGCGATGGGGGTGATGGGGGTGACGGGGGTGATGGGGGTGATGGGGGTGATGGGTGATGGGGGTGATGGGTGATGGGGGTGATGTGATGGGGATGATGGGGGTGATGCGATGGGGGTGATGGGGGTGATGGGGGTGAAGGGGGTGATGTGATGTGATAGGGGTGATGAGGGTGATGGAGGTGATGGGGGTCATGGGGGTGATGTGGGTGATGGGGGTGATGGGGGTGATGTGATGGGGGTGATGGGGGTGATGCGATGGGGGTGATGGGGGTGATGGGGGTGATGTGGGTGATGGGGGTGATGGGGGTGATGTGATGTGATGGGGGTGATGGGGGTGATGGGGGTGATGAGGGTGATGGGGGTGATGGGGGTGATGGGTGATGGGGGTGATGTGATGGGGGTGATGCGATGGGGGTGATGGGGGTGATGTGATGTGATGGGGGTGATGGCGATGATGGGGGTGATGGGGAAAATGGGGGTGATATGATGTGATGAGGGTGATGGGGGTGAAGGGGGTGATGTGATGTGATGGGGGTGACGGGGGTGATGTGATGTGATGGGGGTGATGGGTGATGGGGTTGATGTGACGGGGGTGATAGGGGTGATGCGATGGGGGTGATGGGGGTGAAGGGGGTGATGTGATGTGATAGGGGTGATGAGGGTGATGGGGGTCATGGGGGTGATGTGATGTGATGGGGGTGATGGGGGTGATGGGGATGACGGGGGTGATGGGGGTGATGGGGGTGGGGGGGATTGATATCAGAGGCGTCTCATCGAGAGAAAGGCCTTTAGCTGCTGGTTGAAGTGATTGGAGCTCAGGTCGCTGTGTGTTGGGGGGGCGATGGAAGGGAAGGGAAGTAAGTACTTGTGTCCTGTGGTGCCTCGGGAGAGACAGCTGAGGTGTGGTGGAGGGGAGGAGATGGATGGATGGATGGATGGATGGATGAATGGATGGATGGATGGATGGATGGATGGATGGATAGATGGATGGATGGATGGATGGATGGATGGATGGATGGATGGATGGATGGATGGATGGATGGATGGATGGATGGATGGATGGATGGATGGATGGATGGTGGATGGATGGATGGATGGATGGATGGATGGACGGACGGATGGATGGATGGATGGAAGTTAGAAAGCGATGCAAGGAACCGTGGCACTGGAGGAGTGGGAAGGGATAATAATTAATCTGAAAAAGGGCTGGGAAGTGGGAAGCGGAAGGTGGGCACTGGTGAGGTGACGTGGGGAATTGGGGAGGGAACATGGTGAGAGGGAGTGACAAGGCCATACAGGGAAGTGAGGGTTGGGAGTACAGTGATGAAGGAGGGTAGGTTTGAGGTAGAGTAGCAAGGATTTTAAGACGTCTCAACAGTCCTCAAAACTAGAGAGGCAAAGCCGTACAGGGAAGCGAGGGTTGCGAGTGAGGGTTGGGAGTGCAGCGATGGATGAGGGTTACTATTGAGGCACCTCAAAACTGGAGGGTACTTTCAAGGCGCCTCATAACCAGAGTGACAAGGCCATACAGGGAGGTGAGGGTTGGGAGTGCAGCGATGGATGAGGGGAGCGATCCAGAGAGGCCTTGTGTTCGCAGAGTGCTGTTGAGGGGGAAATGGGGGGGGAAGAGTGGGCGGGAAAGGGGAGGGACGCAGGGGAGGGGACAGAACAAAGCAAAGGGAGAATAAGAGAAGGGAGGGGAGAGATGGAGGAGTGGAGTGCAGTGATGAGTGAAGATGAAGCAGAGGACATGTGGAGGACAACGGGAAAAGGAAAGCAGAGGAACAGATGCTACAGCCCACTCACATGCCTGCTACAGCCCACTACAGCCCACCGCAGCCCACCACAGCCCACCGCAGCCCACCGCAGCCCACCACAGCCCACCGCAGCCCACCGCAGCCCACCGAAGCCCACCACAGCCCACCCCAGCCCACCCCAGCCCACCCCAGCCCACCACAGCCCACCACAGCCCACCACAGCCCATGACAGCCCATGACAGCCCACTCACATGCTTGTGACAGCCCCAGTGTCGGAGCATTTGATGCCAGCCCAGTAAGGGGACGCCTGGGAGGATTCCTCCCCCGTACACTCCCCTGTGCCCGCCCACGTGGTGTCTGTCACTCCCAGAGATGACTTGAGCGCCAGCAGGACGGACACTGCATGGGAGGTGGGGTGTTAGGAGGAAGGTGAGGAACCAAATGAACTTCGGACTATGCACTCCCCCCCTGCACTCTCCCAGTCACATCAAGTGTGTACCCTTCCAGACCCCCCCCCCCCCCCCCCTCCCCCCCTCCCCCCGCACATGCCCATACCATGAATGGCGGCCACCGTCATTCCCCCCGTTACCCAAATCACACAGTCAGTCGGACTCACCGTGAGCTGGGAGAATCGTGACAGCCTCGCAGAACCGTGGTAGCAGCACAGCGCTCCCCCCGTTGGGAGTGCTCAGCCCAGTCGTATCCGGCGTGCAACCCTCCAAATACCCCCGGCACATGCCCGTCGCCCAGGAGATTCCCCCGCAGAACACACACTTGGCAGAGGCCCGTTGGGTGGAGAGAGGGCAGGCGGCAGGGGGGCTGGTGAAGCAGTTGGCGTTGCAGACGGTGGTTGGGACACCGGAAGGGAAGGAGCCGGTGAGGAGATTTCGCTCCACGCTGAAGTATTGGAGAGAGGGCGGGGGTGTTGGGACCGTGCCCACGAGGTAGTTGGAGAATAGATCTCTGCGGTGGGAGGGGGGAAGAGGAGGGGAGGAGGTAGGAGTATTGGAGAGAGGAGGGCGGTGTTGGGACCGTGCCTACAAGGTAGTTGGAATACCCCTGCGGTGGGAGGGGGGAGGGGGGAGGAGGAAAGGACGAGGAGGGGATTTGTTAGTCGACTAAAACCAGATCAGGGGGGGTGTTTGGACCGTGCTCACAAGGTAGTTAGTTGGAGCAGAGACCTCTGATATGGCAGGGACACATGCAGGCAGAGGGGATGGCTTGACGGTGAATGCACCCACACACACCCGTACACGCCCCCGCAGGACGCAGAGAGTAGCACGGAGATGGTACAGTGTTATGCACGCAAAGAACGTACGTACAGGTAGGTCAGGCGCGTGAGAGCGTGCTATGACGCCTCTGAAGCACGTACAGGTAGGTTAGGCGTGTGAGAGTGATGATAGACGTTGGGATGGTGCCATAGAACCAGTTGGCACAGAATCGCCTGCGGGGCGCACAGAGAAGCACAGAGAGGGGTTTATAATCGAGGCGCCTAACAAACGGATGTTGGGATGGTGCCATAGAACCAGTTGGCACAGAATCGCCTGCAGAGAGGGGTGTAGAGAGGGTCGCACAGAGTGGCACACAGAGGAGCCATGGTAGTCAAAAGTCACGTGGCCATGGTGGTTGTAGCCAGCCCAAGGCTTACACTAATCTAGAGAGCGAGAATACACGAGAAAAGAAAGCAAGGCTCACATTTCTTTGAGTTGCGGCATTTGCATGAGAGTGGCTGTCCAAGGCGTGAAGCTGGCGTGCAGCAGGTTGTAGCAGAGATTGCTGTGTGGAAGAGACGAGCGGGAAAGGGGAGGTTGAGGAAAAGCCAAGTGTCAATCTGACATGCAGCAGGTTGTGGCCGGGTTTTGAATCGACTTAAAACAAGAGGCGGGAGCTAAGATGGGGGAAGGGAGGGAGGTGGGAACGGACGGGGGGTGGCGGGAGGGGGAGAGACGGGAAAAGGGGGGAGGCGGGGCGGAGAAAATGGGGAAGGAAGAGGCGGCTCACAGGAAAGTGAGCGCGGAGAGCTTGCTGATGTCTGTCGGCATGCTTCCCTTGAGCGACTGCATGTGAAAGTTCCTGGAAGGAGGAGGGGGGAGGGCAAGGGTTGAGGGCAGAACGAGCAGGAAGGGGGAACGGGGCGATGGTTAGTGGTGTTCACTTCAAGCAGATTTTATTCATAATGTAATGAGAACATAGCGTACATGTGACTTGAAAGTTCTGTGAGGGGGGTCGGATCAGATAGAGGGAAGCCTTAGTGGAGCGTTTGGTTTTGGTTAATTCTTGAGATTGCCGAAGTGGGGGGGAGCAACAAAAGAAGCATCAGAATCTGACACATGGGATCACAACAAGATTATAATTTGAATAAGAATCTTCAGTGATACACCAACGACGAGTATGAGCAGCGATATTGTGTTGGCTTGACTTATGCGGCTGGGACGCGGAAAAGGTGCTAGGGAAATTTACTGTAATCGTTATTAATTCGGCAAGCATGGTCTACTGCGAATCCACCCCCCCCCCCATACTCACAGGTAAGCGACGTTTCCGGATGCATCGCACTGCACTGCATCCCACTCATTGCCGTTCTTGGTCTGTTCAATCGGCGTGCACTGAGACGACGATGACTGCCAAGACGTTAGCGTCACACCCAGAACCGGCTTTATTGCGAGCAGCGCGTTCACTGCAGCGGGACAGGGGGACAGCGCATCGCGCGTACGGGAGTGGTGGGACCGTGAGCGTCGCAGCGAACGACAGAGGAAACCTCGGCTTCTCGTACTGTCATCTTCTGAGTCTGCACTGCACTGCTTCTGAGACGACTCAAAACTCGACGATATGCGGCAAATGAAAACGCCGGTCAGCTACAGCGGAGCTTCGTTTGATACAATATGCAGACTAAAAGATAATTACACAGATAAAAGCGGTGGACTTCCATTGTCAGTGGGCGACGGAGCGCGAACTCTAAATTCAACTCTGACAATCACTGCTGACCCACGTTCGACTCACATATGTGCGAGCTCAAAATCAGTGATCGTAATGGCAGGCAGAACCACCGCCATTTTCTTTAGGTCTCAGAAACAGGACGTTTTAAAATTAGTCACGCCGAGCTTGCTCTCGACTGACACGTGGAACGCGAGCTCGCAATTTGTAGTCGGCATGGTCGACGGAGCCACGAGGCAAATTTAGGAGCCATAGGGAGATCTTAGGAGCCATAGGGAGATTTTAGGAGCCATAGGGAGATTATAGGATCCACTACGAAAGGTGACTCAAGGGTCACGCCCAACATACACTCGACTCACGCATGGAATGCGGGCTCACTGTGGTTCGCGGACATGGGGGCCGGAGCCATGGCCAATTTTTGAAACGTCTAAAAATGCTCACTTTCTGAGTTTTGAGGCGCCTCAAAACTCACTCTCTGTGTCGTTTCAGAAGCAGTCACGCCCAACCTACACTCGACTCAAGCATGGAATGCGAGCTCACTATCGTTCGAGGACATGGGGACCGGAGCCACGGCGCGCGCTACAGACGCCTCGAGGAGAAAGAACGCAAAAGCGATCACGACCGAGGATGCTGATGACGTGGAGACGCCAGCCATGGCGGATGCTGTTCGTTGTCGCATGTCGAGGTGCTGGAGGGGTTGCTGGCGGCTTCACTGCGTCACTGGAGCAGCAACTTCGTGTCTGTCTGCGTCCACGTCTACGTCTGCGTCCACGTTTACGTCTACGTCTACGACTACGTCTGCTTTTACGTCTGCTTCTGGGCCAATCTAGACTGTCGTGATGGAGCCGCGAGTACACTAATCGTCACCAGTCGTTCAAGACGCGAAACTCTCGCCGGCACGTTGCCATGGATTTGCTTGTACCATTTACTACAATAGACCTTTACGGACCAGGTGATAAATGCAAACTTCCTCTAAACCGATGCTTGAGTCAACACATCCTACGGTGATAAAAGCTAGTGGAAAGCTAAGATCGGTCATGACGTCGCAATTCGCAAAATTACTTTCCCAGCACTAGCTAACCTAGCGGCATTCGCAAATCCTAAGCGGACACCGTCGCCACCCGTGCCACTTCAGCCCAGTCATTGATTGTGCTAACGTAGCGATGTGACCAAAAGGACGGGATGGGAAGGACAGGATGGGCGGACAAGCAAGAAGCCATTCTTGCCAACAGCATCTACATTCCTGGCAGCTTCGTCTCATCTCCTTCATGGAACCACTTTCTTTTCTCCACTCCGCATACACCCAATTTTCCCTGTGTCGTGCCGTGCGTGTACACATCTGCTTGTAGCATTGAACAGCACCGCCCAGGGCGATCTGATCATACTGTAAAGGGAAGGTTGGGTTGGGATGTCGAAGCACACCACGGTGCACTTTTTTTCCCCAGTCGACCCCATTCACCCCACCAGTCCCCTCCCTCCCTCACCCGCCACCCCATGATTTGACCTTCGCTCGCCTCGCCTCGTTTCAAGTGTTCGCCCCTTTCCCCTCCCTCGCCGCACCCTTCCTACCTCACGCTGCTTCGCCTCTTCTCGCACAGAGACACACTCTCGCCTGACCTGCCCTGCCACTTTTTCCATTCTCCCTCCAAATCCGCTGCTTCCGGCTACACAAAGTAGTGGGAGGGGCGCCGTCAACCTGCCATTGGTGGCGTTTTGACAGACGCATCATCTGTCACCATAACCAGGGCTTGTTCTGTGGCCCCTACTCAGAGTTGACTGGGTTCGTGGCGGCTTCATTAACTCAACCCTCACACGTGTGTACGTTACAATCACACCATGCCATCTAACTCAGAGTTAGCAAATAAGGGTTCCAAATACGCAAAGTAACAATTCAGAGTACGCTCCGTAAGAAGCATGAACCGAATCTTCTTTCACAGGCAAACTAACTCAGAGTTAGTGCTTTCCCTCACTCGGACTTTTGGGTAGTTGGCTACACTACTCTGGGTACGGCTCGAGAAGGATTACCCCGACATTGCCCACATTTGGTTCTTTCCAACTAGTCCCCACGCTGTGTTGCGTGAAGTTGCAATTTTTTGCCCTATGGCTACCCTTTCGCACTTAATTTTCGGAAGGGTCAGCACTTCGGGTTGAGACATAAATTTTTAGCCAGAACAAGTTCGAGAACCCCCACGAAACTTCTTTAACTCAGAGTTACGAGGGGCCACAGATCACCAAGGTAAGTTACAACTCAAACATTCACACGAGCGTAATGATTCATTGTCGGTGTACTCACCCAAGCCTACACGGCTCGGTAACTCAGAGTTAGCTAAAGGCGTGTGCAAAGTGCGCAAAAACTCGACGTCGAGCAACGTCGGTGAATTTCCACCCTCGGATCAAAGGTTCCAACCGTCAGGATTCACCGACGACCCTCGACGTCGAGTTTGTGCAGCACTTTGTACACGCCATAACTCTGAGTTAGCGCCACAGAACAAGGCCCAGAAAACACTAACAGCGGTGAGGCATGGCAGAAGAACCTTTCCAAGATGGCTACATTTTCATCGCATGAAAGTCTAATGACGTGTCTCAATTGCGCGGGTCCACGTGAGTCCGACACTGACCCCGCGGACCAGCTCTAGAACCACCCTGTGAACCACCGACGGACTGGACCGAGATGCGGGACTTTTAACCACGTTCGAATGGCACTACAGCGGTGCCATTGATTTGGTCGCCAGACCAGCCCGCGCCTGGTCCGTAACTGTAGCAGCTCTCACTTTGTTTGCGAAATCTCTCGCCGTTCGACTGTCGCTCCTGACGGGATGGGGAGTTTTTACCAGCAAAAGGTAGGAGGTAACTCGATTTCAACATGACTGATTCGCGTCGATCGTGTTTTGTTTTCGCAAATACTGTACAGCCCTTGAAGCGATGTATCATGTAGACCAGCTCGTGTCTGGTCCTCGAAGTAGGTCCGTCGGACCAGAATTGTGGACCCGACATGCACAAATTAGCAACGCATCGGGGCGGACCAATGACATGAGACACTCTCTAAGCAACACCATAGTCCCCACCAGCCTGACCGCATGTGTTTTTTTTTCTCCCTGCCCCGCGCTTACTACAACGACATTCCAACGACACACCTGACCAATCAAGGACGTGACCGACTGATACACTGTACACTGTAGCGATGCTCAACATCTGTGCAGCGTGGCCACTGGCAGCAGAACATCAACCCTGGTTCCTGACGGAGAACGTCAACGTGACCGCTTCCTGCTTCGCAGTTGTGGTAACCAGAACAGATGTTTGGCTTCTCGGCTGTCCCTCCAGCTTCGGTACAGATGTTCTGGCTTAGATGCCTTTCCTAAAAGAGTCCCATTTCCTCAACGAGTAGATTTTTCATAAGCCCTAGGTGTATCCCCTCCTCTACAGTCCCATTTTTGGCGGGAAATCTTGCAACTTGACTGAATCATTGCACGAATCAGTTCTTCAGCCAATCAGAGGACGCAAATCGAACCTGTCAGAACATTAAGGGAAAATAAAAGAAAAGGAAGTTTTTATTCACTATTTAATTTTTGCAGTTGTGTTTGCCTGTTTATCTTGACCTCTCTTGAGTCTAAATCCTGTTGCGCGGTTCCCCACGAGCTCCGACGATGCATCTCATTAATCTCGATTACAGTGAAAAACAAAAATTGTTGTCTTTCATTTCGGCCTTAAACATAATTTATTTTGTATTTTCCTGCCGGTTTGTCCTGCGACACTGATCAACGCGGCGAACCGTGCGACGAGCAGTTGAAGACAGCGTAGTCCGAATGTATATATGTGACAGGAAAACACGAATATTCACGAAGGAAAATTGCTCTTCATGCAATTTTCCTCATATGGGACTATAAGTTCCCTTTTGCCCGGGGTTTGTGAGTTTTCCACAAAGGCCCGCAGCGCGCGTGTTTTTCACGGTGACTCTAATCGAGAACATTTGTAGTCCATCAGCCTCCGCTTGATACTGTACTCACCCAAATCTTGTGCAATCACACTCATTCTTGTAAGGTGTGCATTACGAAGTGCAAGCATTCGACATTCTGGAAGATCGTTTTTGGTCCTTCCGCCATTATTATAACACCTCGCTACCCACTGGGTCAAAACGAGGGTGTTGTTTGGCGCAGAGGAATGCCCATTAGCACTTAGCCCACGGGCGTTACAGCCATGTTTCCGAGCTGGACACAGCACACTGGTGCACCGCATACTGACCTGACTCATTCTACTCTCTGATAGTAACCTTCATATCGTACGATTCATTAATCAACACCGCTTCAGTCAGGAGCTCTGAGAGTCCCACATATTGTTATGCATATCACCAATCGCGTCCGACCAAGCGAAGGACCAGGTTCATTCTCACATAACCGCTAGATTGCTCCCTAGCCGTTAGTTCGTCGTTGCATCGGGCATAGCCTTCACATCTAGTCGTCGCACGCGCAATGCGACCACTGCGACGCTCATCGCGAAATCGCAGCGGCGCGTCGGCTGGCGTCCCGTCGTCGGCGAGCCCGCTGTTGACGGCGGCATGGCTCCTCGCAGCGGCATTTCTGTGGACCTCCGGCGCTCGCGCGCAGGGAGTCGCGGTGGACTCGGCCGACTGTGAGTCCGCCCCTCCCCATCTATGCGGCATAGCCACGTCTAGCTAAACAAAAATGAGGGTTGGCCCGCGCAGGGAATCGCGGAGGACCCATTCGCCTATAAGACCGTTCCGGGATGACGTTCCTGGTGCCGGCGAGGCGCCCTAAGATATGATACTGGTCGGCCCCTGAATGTATCCCGCTCGCCCCTCGCAGGGACGACGCTGGTGGCGCTGCGGGACGGCATGTCGTTTCTGGTGCCGGCGAGGCGCCCACCCAAACACTACTGGACGGCTCCTGACAGCTCCCCCTTCAGCCGTCACCCCTCTCTGTGCCCCGGCCCCCCTCCCCTTCTCTCCCTTCCCCACTTCTTAACAGGGACGACGCTGGTCGCGCTGCGGGACGACATGTCGTTTCTGGTGCCCACGAGGAGTCCCAAGGTCTACTGGACGGCGCCTGACAGCTGCGACAGCCTGTTTGGCATCATGTGTGACGGGGACGGCAACGTAGTCTCCCTGTGAGTTCTTCTCTCTCTAAGGCAACCGTGTGCGATCGGGAGTACGAGTGTGTGACGCGTGATGGTTGCCTGAGTGCTGGGAGCTGCGACAGCCTGCTTGGCGTCATGTGCGACGGGGACGGCAACGTCGTTTCGACTGTGAGTTCTCCTCTCTTCGGGGCACCCATGTGTGAGCGTGGGTGTCTGAAGTGTGATGGACGAGTGAGTGAGTGCATATCACGTGATTAACCCATGATAACAGTGCAAGAAACCCCTGTCTGTGCCGCATTTTGCTCTGCTCCCAGACTCGACTATTCATTCGCCTTGAAACTCCTGTCCGCCTCCGCCCCTTCTCGCTCTGCGTTCTTGCGTCGTGCTGTGCTGTGCTGTGCTGGCCGCTGTGCTGTGCGGTGCTGTGCTGCTCTGTGCGGTGTTGCTGCTGCCAGGGTGATGACGGGAGCCAATGGACCGCTGCCAGCTGTTATCGGAAATTTCCCCTACCTCTATTCGCTGTAACAACCCTTCTCCTCGTCCCTACCTCCTTCCCCCGCCTTGCTTACCCAAATCCCATCTTTCCCCACCTTCCTTGCCCAAACCCCATCTCCACCTTCCTCTGCTCTCTCCCCCTTTACCTGACCTATCTCTCTCTTTCTCTCTCTCTCTCCTACCCTCAGTCAACCTTCCCCAAACCCGAACCCCCCTCTTCTTCTCTCTTGCTCGCCTTCACTCCAACACTCATTCTCTCTCCCCCCCCCTGTTCCCACCCACTCCGCACATATCTCTACCGCATTGCACCTTTGTGATAACTCTCCTCACCGCTCCAAGGCAATTCTCATGTGTCTCATGTGCCCCATGTCTCATAACGTACCATGGCGGGTAGAGATGAGTCTCATCTCATCTACTCTACACCTCCCCCACACCCCCTCCCTCTCACCTCACGAGTCACCACTACCACCACCCCTCTGTCTTTTTTTCCCCTTCCCCTCGCCCCTCTTCCCCTTCTCCTATCCCATCCCCCCCACCTCGCCTCTCCCTCTCACCCCCCCAGTTCTATCTCAGGGAATCTAACCTCCCTGCCTGTTGAGCTCAGCAGCCTCTCCCTTCTCACTGTTCTGTAAGCCTCTCAACCGGCTCACAGTGCTGTAAGCTGACTTCCCTCGTATCTCGATGCCTTATTGTTGCACCCCTCGTTGCCTTGCTGTGCCTTGAAGCTTTCTTTTCATCCAGCGTCCTTCTCTCATCCAGTTTCGTCCATCCCTCCATCCATCCATCCATCCATCCAACCAACCATCCATCCATCCATCCATCCATCCATCCATCCATCCATCCATCCATCCATCCATCCATCCATCCATCCATCCATCCATCCATCCATCCATCCATCCATCCATCCATCCATCCATCCATCCATCCATCCATCCATCCATCCATCCACCTTCCCATGCCCCCATCACACTCCCTCTCTCTCATCACCCTCCCATCGTCCACTCGAAGGCACCTGTCTCGGAACAACATAACAGGCCCTTTCCCAGCGTCCATCCTCGCTCTCAGGAAGCTCAGATCACTGTACGTCTGTGTGAGACACGCATCTTGTCACTTTCGAGAATTCTCAAAAGTGATTTCCATATTCTGTCATGGGAGACTTTCCACCCCAGCCCATTGCGACCATAACTGGCATCTTGACATGTCATCGGTGCAGTCTCCCATGCGCCCATCACCCTCCCACGTCTCTAGCCACTGACCTGGTGCAATCTCTCTCTCATGCCACTGTCCTCTTTCCACCCCATCCTGTTGCCCACACCCATCGCCCGCCCACTCCCTTCGTCCACTCTCTCATTGTGGCTTCCCTTCCGTGGTTACAAGAAACCAATCTTGTAAGCACACCTTCCCATGGCCCATGACCCCCATGCCCCCGTTACCCGCTCGCAGCAACCTAGAGTTGAACCAGCTGTCTGGCAGCCTTCCCTCCGGCATATCTGCCCTCTCCTCCCTCAGCGACCTGTGAGTCACGCACTGTGTGATGCAGTTGGCACTGCACTGCAGTGTACTGCTCTGGATGCATGCTCGCATGCATTGGTTGTGATGCGTGCTTTGCAATGCACTGGCCAGGATTTAGGGTTTAGGGTTGTGAGTGGCCATGCAACCATGATGCGTGCTTTGCAATGCGCTGCCCAGGATTCGACCAGGAATCGACCCCGATCCGATCCATCCCTCCCACCCACCCACCGTGCATGGCATGGCATGGCATGGCATGGCATGGCAGGCGGCTGGACTCCAACCAATTCACCGGATCCATCCCTTCAACCATTGGCAAACTCTCCAACCTCACTCTCCTGTAGACCCCTCCCCCATCACCCTCACTCCCTTCCAAATCCCTCCCTCTCCACCCTCACTCTCCTGTTGTATAGCCTGAAATCCTACTAGCCTCATTTTCAGGTGCGGACTTTTCTAGTCCCACTCACGTATTCACACGCGCGCTTACGAGTTCATCTCACATACTATCCACCACTATCAGCTCGTGTTTTTTGGGGCGTCAGTTACCTTTTCTAGTCTCTCTTTTACCTGTATTATCCACCATCACCGGTTGACTAGCTGCACACACACATGCCACACACACATGCCGCTCAGACCTCCCGCCCTCCCATTCACCTTCACCTGTTTTGGTCCTGCTTCTCCTGCTCCCCCTTCTCTTCTGCTTGTTCGTTCCTCCGCCCTCCCCTTACCCCTCTCCTCAGGGCACTCTCGTCTAACAAGGTGACCATGGGCATTCTCCCTGCCATTTCGACCCTAACTCTCCTCGGATTTCTCTCCCCCCCTCCCTCTCCTCCCCTTTTCTCTTCAGGTCGCTCTCGTCCAATCAGGTGACGGGCGCCATTCCACCTGCCATTTCGACCCTCAAACTTTTGAGAACCCTGTGAGGCGCGAGGCAGGGAGGAGAGGGGGATGGGGGGATGGGAGAGGAGAGGGATGGGAGAGGAGAGGGACGGGAGGAGCGAGGGATTGGACGAGCGAGGGATTGGAGGAGCGATGGATGGGAGATGATTGGGATGGGAGAAGGGAGGATGGGAGGGACACAACGCATGTAATCCCCTTCCCCCCCCTCCATGCAAAGCCACCACAGCAATATGCAGCACAACAAGCTCTCAGGCTCCGTCCCCCTGTTTCCCCCTCACCAAGTTCCTCCCTTTCCTCGCCTTCTCCCCCGATCCCCCATGCCATGCCTTGGCAGCAATATGCAGCGCAACAAGCTAACAGGCTCCATCCCTTCTCAGACCAGCACTCTCACCCGCCTGCAACGCCTGTACGTCTCACTCAACCCCTCTAGTAACCCGCCTTTGATAGCCCTCCTTTGTATCCCTCCACCTCTTCTTGGTAGACCAGCACTCTAACCCGCCTGCAACACCTGTACGTCTCACTCAACCCCTCTAGTAACCCGCCTTTGATAGCCCTCCTCTGTATCCCTCCACCTCTTCTTGGTAGACCAGCACTCTCACCCGCCTGCAACGCCTGTACGTGACGTCTCACCTCACAGCCCCTCGATCTCCTTTTCTCCAAGACAAACGGCCTTCTTGACTAACCCTAGTAGCTACCTCTCTTCTCTAAAGCAACTAGCGAATGAAAGGAGGTAGGTAGCAGCAAGCTCTGAACTAGCCCTCTTGTAAAACTCTTTTCATTGCCTTGCAAGTTGCATCAACCATAGCTCCCCATCGCCCTCCTCCCCACTGCATCACGGCCCCACTGGCCCGCTACCTCACAGCCTAACTGCCCTACTGCGTGCCCCATACCCCAGGTACCTCAATCGCAACACCCTCTCAGGCTCCCTCCCTGCAACCATCAAGTCGCTTAGAAAACCCAACTTCCTCCCCATCCACTGCCTCACTGCCGCATTCCCCGCCTCCCAATGCCCCAACGCACCACTGCCCCCGCAGGTATCTCAATCGCAACACCCTCTCAGGCTCCCTCCCTGCAGCAATCAAGGCGCTTGGAAATCGCAACCTCCTCCCCACCCGTTTCCCCACTGCCTCATTGCCTCACTTCCTCACTACCCCACAGGCACCTCAATCGCAACACGCTCTCAGGCTCCCTCCCTGCAACCATCAAGGCCCTCACCGCCCTGCGCATGCTGTAAGCAACCTTTCTCCTCTTCTCCCTTTCCAAGCTATCTTCTCCCAACCTCTCCCCTCTCCTCCCTTCCCAACTTCTCCTGTCCTGTCTCCTCCCGTACCCTCCTGTACCCTCCCGTACCCTAAAACTCAAACGAATATGTGTTTCTGAGGTTCCAAAAAAACTCCTTCCGCCCCCCCATCCCCCCTTCTCCGCTTCCCCCCATCCCCCCACCCTCCCTTCCCCCCATCCCCCCTTCCCCCTGCAAACCCCCAATCACCCACTAGCCTCATCAATCACATCACCATGATCCACTCGTCTTAACATCCACCCCTCCACCCGCCTCCACCCACCTCCACCGCTCTCCACCACCCCCCGTCTCCCCTTCCAATCCTTCCAACACCCACTCTTCCACCCTCCTCCCCTGCATCCATTGCCCCCTCCTCCCGTTGCCCGTCAGTCTCTTAAACTAGAACACCATTAACGGCCGGCTCTCTCCCTGCCTCCATCGCCTCCCGTTCTCTCTTTTACACCCCCACCCCCCCCCCATCCTCCTTTCTCCCCGTTCCCCCCTTTCCCTGTTGTGAACCCCCTGAACCCCCCTCAATCTCTCTGACAACAACACCATCAGCGGCTCTCTCCCCGCCTCCATAGGGGCCCTGCCCTCTCTTCCCCCTTCCATCCCCCCTCCAGCATTAACACCTGCCTACTCTTCCATCCCTCCCCATTCCCCCCTCCAGTGTCTTTGACTACAACACCATTAGTGGCTCTCTCCCCGCCTCCATAGGGGCCCTGCCCTCGCTCGTCTACCTGTATGCCTTCTCTTTTTCATTCAACCGACTCGCCTTTTATTCGTCTCAGGAGTGACTCAGGTTTTGCTCCACTGCTTTGCTTCTCTACCTGTGTGTTGGGCTCATCTATGTGTAATGAGTCGTGGTTTGAGCCGACTCAAAGCACAGTTTTTGCTCCAATCCAATGCTTTCCTTCTCTTGTGTACCCTCAGTGTGTTAGGCCCATCCATCCATCCTTGCATGGCCCCCTGCTCTCCCCTCCCATTCTTCCTCCTCTTTGTATGGTATCCATCATCTTTGTTTTGAGACGTCTCAGAACAAACCCTTTTATCACGACACCTTTGTACTTGTGTCCCTTTGCTCTGCCCATGCACCTCCCTTGACTCCCTTGTCCACACTCTCTCCTAAACCTGTGTTGCCTCATCTCACTCCCTCCCTTCCACTGCTTAAACCCCACTTCCTCCCTCCCGTAACCCGTTGTCTACATCACATCACTATCATCATCACCACCACCACCATCACCACCATCAGGAGTGGCAGCAACAACAAGCTGACTGGTGCCATACCTTGCTCACATTCCCCTCATAGACCTGCCTTGCATCCTCTCACTCTCTCCCTTCCACTGTCCCTCTCATCACCACCACCACCACCATCATCACCATCAGGAGTGGCAGCAAAAACAAGCTAACTGGTGCCATCCCGTCTGTCATTGGGGCTCTTTCAAAACTCACTTACCTGTTAGTGTCACATACCTGTTAGTGTCACATACCTGTTAATGTCTCATACCTGTTAGTGTGTCGCATACCTGTTAGTGTGTCGCATACCTGTTAGTGTGTCGCATACCTGTTAGTGTGTCGCATACCTGTTAGTGTGTCGCATACCTGTTAGTGTGTCGCACACCTAAATGCATCACATAACTGGTGCTAGAAAACCTATCATTTTCGTATACCATCCTATCCTTTCCCTCCATCCCTTTTTTGCCTGTGCTGCTTTTCTCTCACCCTCCCTTCCTTCCCTTCGTTACACCACCATTATTTCACTTAATCTCAGCATTTTCGAATCACACTCCCCTCACCAGGAAATCCCCTTAATCCTATTCATTCCTTTCTCCCCCTTCGCCTCTAAACTCTCCCTTCCTCACTCTTCGTTTCCACTCCTGTGCACCTCTCCAAACCGCAGAGCACTCGACCGCAATTCTCTTTCAGGTGCATTCCCTTCGGCGCTCTCCAAACTCAGCTACCTTCAAACCGTGTACGTCCGTGACTGCATGGGCAGTGCATGCATGGGCAGTGCACGCATGGGCAGTGCATGCATGGGCAGTGCATGCATGGGCAGTGCATGCATGGGCAGTGCATGCATGGGCAGTGCATGCATGGGCAGTGCATGCATGGGCAGTGCATGCATGGGCAGTGCATGCATGGGCAGTGCACACATGCATGCATGTGGATTTCCTTTGAAGTGGTACCTACCCCTAATCCCTCTCGCGACGCTCCCTCCCTTGCAAACCTCACTTCCTTTCTTCTCCATGCACTCCTCCCCACGCCCACTTGCTTTCCCCTCCCCTCTCCCCCATACCTCCCCCCTAACTCCTCACCCCTTCCTCCCTTCTCCACCCTCCACCCTCCCGCTTTCCTCGTCCCCATCCCCTCCCCTCTACCGCAGCTCCCTCGATCGCAACAACATCACTGGCTCACTCCCCGTGGGGCTGTCCCAGCTCTCATACCCATTTCCTTCCAATGTACTCCTTCCCCCTCTCCCCTTCTTCCCCTTCCCCACCCCACCTCTCCTCCCTCCCCCCCCCACCAGCTCCCTCTATCGCAACAACATCACTGGGTCGCTCCCTGTGGGGCTGTCTCAGCTCTCATACCTATTTGACCTGTGAGGAGAAAGGGGGGTATGAGGTGGGGTTAGGAAGCGGTGGGAGGGTAAGGAACCCCGTGGGGCTGTCGCACCTCTCATACCTCTTTGACCTGTGAGCAGTTGGGAAATGGGGACGGGCGGTGTGAGGTTGGGAACCTCTTGACTTTTGTGTGTGATGGGGAGAGGGTAGTTGGGGGGGGGGGGGGGGGGGGGGGGGGGAGAGGATTTTGAAGTTCATGCCATGTGTGTTGAAATCACTTTTTGAGAATTTTCAAAATGTGTGTTGTGCATGTGTGTTGTGCATGTGTGTTGTGCGTGTGTGTTGTGTGCATGTGTGTTGTGCATGTGTGTTGTGTGCGTGTGTGTTGTGAATGTAGTTCCACTAGCCTTTTGAGAAACTTAACTCTCTCCTCCTCCACCCCCGTGTCATACCACAGAGCTGACTTTTGAGTCGACTCAAAAGTCAACTCTCTCCTCCTACACCCCCGTGTCATACCACAATCTCACGAGCACCATCCGCTCACGAGCACCATCCGCTCACGAGCACCATCCGCTCACGAGCACCATCCGCTCACGAGCACCATCTGCTCACGAGCACCATCCGCTCACGAGCACCATCCGCTCTTTCTTCTCCTCTCATCTCGCTCTCATCTCGCTCTCATCTCGCTCTCATCTCGCTCTCATCTCGCTCTCATCTCGCTCTCATCTCGCTCTCATCTCGCTCTCATCTCGCTCTCATCTCGCTCTCATCTCGCTCTCATCTCGCTCTCATCTCGCTCTCATCTCGCTCTCATCTCGCTCTCATCTCGCTCTCATCTCGCTCTCATCTCGCCCTCATCTCGCTCTCATCTCGCCCTCCATCTCCGCCTGGCACCCCTTGCCTTACCCCCACCCCACGCAGTGACATGTCATACAACAAGCTGACGGGCACCATCCCCGCCTTCTGTTCTTCTCACTTGCTTCTCCGCTTGTCTTCCCTTCATCCTCCCTTCCCTTCCCCTCTCCCAACCCAGCGAATTGTCATACAACAAGCTCACGGGCACCATCCCCGCCTTCTGCAACACCGACATGGCAGACCTCTCCATCCTGTCGGTGCCTTACTCACTCACGCACTCACTCAGTTGCACCCCATATGCACCTCTGATCAGACATGGCAGACCTCTCCATCCTGTCAGTCACCTCTGATCATCCTGTCAACATTTCCCTCGCCCTCCCTTCCCATCCCATGCTCCCCCTCCTTCCCATCCCATGCTCCCCCTCCTTCCCTTCCCATGCTCCCCCTCCTTCCCTTCCCATGCTCCCCCTCCTTCCCATCCCATGCTCCCCCTCCTTCCCATCCCATGCTCCCCCTCCTTCCCATCCCATGCTCCCCCTCCTTCCCATCCCATGCTCCCCCTCCTTCCCATCCCATGCTCCCCCTCCTTCCCATCCCATGCTCCCCCTCCTTCCCATCCCATGCTCCCCCTCCTTCCCTTCCCATGCTCCCCCTCCTTCCCTTCCCATGCTCCCCCTCCTTCCCATCCCATGCTCCCCCTCCTTCCCATCCCATGCTCCCCCTCCTTCCCATCCCATGCTCCCCCTCCTTCCCATCCCATGCTCCCCCTCCTTCCCATCCCATGCTCCCCCTCCTTCCCATCCCATGCTCCCCCTCCTTCCCATCCCATGCTCCCCCTCCTTCCCATCCCATGCTCCCCCTCCTTCCCATCCCATGCTCCCCCTCCTTCCCATCCCATGCTCCCCCTCCTTCCCATCCCATGCTCCCCCTCCTTCCCATCCCATGCTCCCCCTCCTTCCCATCCCATGCTCCCCCTCCTTCCCATCCCATGCTCCCCCTCCTTCCCATCCCATGCTCCCCCTCCTTCCCATCCCATGCTCCCCCTCCTTCCCATCCCATGCTCCCCCTCCTTCCCATCCCATGCTCCCCCTCCTTCCCATCCCATGCTCCCCCTCCTTCCCATCCCATGCTCCCCCTCCTTCCCATCCCATGCTCCCCCTCCTTCCCATCCCATGCTCCCCCTCCTTCCCATCCCATGCTCCCCCTCCTTCCCATCCCATGCTCCCCCTCCTTCCCATCCCATGCTCCCCCTCCTTCCCATCCCATGCTCCCCCTCCTTCCCATCCCATGCTCCCCCTCCTTCCCATCCCATGCTCCCCCTCCTTCCCATCCCATGCTCCCCCTCCTTCCCATCCCATGCTCCCCCTCCTTCCCATCCCATGCTCCCCCTCCTTCCCATCCCATGCTCCCCCTCCTTCCCTTCCTCGCGTTCCTCCTCTCCTCCTCGCGTCTCTCTCCCCTCTCCCACCCTCCCCCGCTCCTTCCTCTCAGGAGCCTCTACAACAATCTCCTCACGGGTTCTCTCCCCCTTGCCCCCACTGCCCCCACTGCCCCCACTGCCCCCCCTGCTCCCCCTCCTCGTCTCCTCCCCACACCGTCCCGTGCCACCCTCTCAGGAGCCTCTCCAACAATCTCCTCACGGGTTCTCTCCCAGCCTCGCTCTCGCTCTGCGCCTCCATTTACTCCCTGTAAGCTGCTCTGCTGCCCTCTGCACTCACTGCCTACGCTCCCCCTTTCACTTCCCCCTCTGCCCTCACTTCCCCCTCTCCTCTCGCTCTGCACCTCCATTCACTCCCTGTAACCTGCTCCACAACCACTGCACGCTTGGCCATGCAGGGTTTACATGCTCTACTACCCCTTCCCCTACCCTTTTTGACCTGTTCTGCTTGCCATGAAGCTGTCTCAACTCGTCAGTCCCCGAGGCGAGGGTGATGTGACGTTAGCTCCTCCCTCGCCTCCTTGCACTAGAATCGAGGTGGTTTTTGAGGCGCTTAAAAAACCACCTCAATGCCCGAGGGTGATGCGACGTTACCTCCTCCATCGCCTCCTTGCACTAGAATCGTTCAGAACGTCTCCCATGTTTGCTCAAGTTCTCATTCGTCTTATTCTCCTCGTCCCGTCCCGCCCTGCAGTGCAGGGACGTCAGTGGAAACTACTTCAACAGCAACCCACCCACTCTCATCACCAACCCTCGTGCTTTCCCCGTCTTCCATCTGCTCCTCTTGCCTCTGCCTACCCCTCTCATCCCGCCCTGCCCTGCAGGACGTCAGTGGTAACTACTTTCAACAGCAACCCACCCCACCCATCCACCCTCATGCACTCCATCTCTTTTTTCCCACCCCCTTCTCCTACCAAACTCACTCCCATCCCATCCTCCCTACAACCCTGTCTCTTTCACCCGCCTCCGCCCTGCACGGACGTGAGCGGCAACTATTTCACAACAACCCCGCCTCTCTCATCACCAACCCTCGTGTTTTCCTCCGTGTTCCGCAATATCCTCCTCTGTATCTACCTCCCCCTTTCCCACCCCACCCATCCGCCCTGCAGGGACGTGAGCGGCAACTATTGCAACAACAATCCCGCCACTCTTATCACCAACCCTTCCACACGCTTTCAACTCTTTCTCCTGCTGCACTTGCTCCCCTACCCCTACCCCTACTCCACCCATCTCCTGCAGGGACGTGAGCGGCAACTATTTCAACAACAATCCTGCCTCTCTCATTGCCAGCATGACCTCGCTCGCCTATCTGTACGTCTGATGTTTAGCCTCTCATGCAATAGAATAGCTCTCTGCTTATTCGTGCAACAGCGACCCTGCCAGACTATATCCACCAGCAAATCCACTGCTATCATCAACAACCTGCCTTCACTCACCTATCCGTACATCTAACATTTGAGTCGACTCAAAACCGCGTGTAATGAGCATCATCTATGTCGATTTTTTGGCCGACCCAAAGAACAGCAACCCTGCCTGCCACTATGTCCGGCAGCACACCCACCGCTATCATCAACAACCTGCCTTTGCTCGCCTATCTGTGCATCTGATATCTTGGGAACTCTTTGCTCTCTTCTCTCAACCTAGAACATCTCACTGTCATGTCCACTCAGCCTCTCCCTCACTCCAACTTCTCCCTCCAACTTCTCCCTCCAACCTCTCAACCTCCTTTGTACTCGATCCAGCATATCCTGCTCTCCTTCACTCCCCAATCTTTTTCTCACTCCTCATTCCCTCCCATGCCCCATCCCCCATCCTCCTCTCCCCTCCCCCTGCCAGCAACCTATCGCGCAACTACTTCACGGGTCCCCTCCCATCGCTCCCCTCGGCCTCCGCAGTCCTCTCTCTCGACCTCTCCTCCAACTATTTCTTCGGTCGTGGCAACGCGTACGACACCGCCAGCAGCCCCATCTGCCCTTCCGCAACAGTCCCTGTCAGCACCACCAACAACTGCCTCTCCTACCTCGCCTCCCCTCCTTGCACCGACCCTAGCTATCCCCCGGACCAGCCGCAGCGTCCTGTATTTCAGTGCCAAGCCTTCTGCCGGACCAACTTCTCAGGTTCGGACATCGCGGCCGTGAACGAGCAGTGTGGGTTCGGCGGAGGGGTGTGTATTGCCACGGCAACAGTCTCGGCGGCAGCGGGAACAGCTACAGTGCAGTTCAAGTGTAGCTGTAACACTACGTTCTATACCTTATCTACAGACAGCTTGACATGCATTCGAAAGCGTAAGTAGCTTCTCAGACTTCTCCTCTTGAGTGATTTTCACAATCGTGTTTCTCTTTTTGAGCGTCGTTTTCCTTTCTTTTTTTCCTTCGACCTTCTGAGGTGTGAGTCGTGTTTCTCAGCCTGACTCGCTCTGTTGCTTTGCTCTCACAGCTTCTCTTGCTCATGGCTCACTTCTATGTTTTGTTAAATGCATGCTCACCAAAGGTTCCCCCTTCTCTTCCCTTCCTCTCTCACATTGCCTTCCCCTCTCCGCCTCTTCCCTCGCTCTTTCCCTCCTCTCCCCCTCCGATTTTCTTCTCCTTTCCCTCTTCTTTCCCTCCTCTTCCCCTCCTCTCACCCTCCACCCCCATTCCTCTCTCCCATTGCCAAACTACAGCGGGTCCTCCTCCCCCCTCTCCTCCTCCCCAGCCTCCTTCCCCCCCGCCTCCTCCCCCCTCTCCGCCTCCCAACCCACCTCCTCCCCCTCCTCCCTCTCCGCCCCCTCCCTCGCCACCACCCCCATCGTCCTGGCAAGTGACTCGGTGGGAGTGTATAAACAAGGACCTTCAGGGCACCTGCACTTGCAGCTGCTTATTTGGCAACCAGTGTTACTGCCCTGTCTAGAGCACGTGGTAACCAGTGTTACTCCTATCCCAAACTACAGAATGAGGTAGTTATGAGTGTTCGTACCCACTTTGGATACTCATTTTCCTTTCGTGCACATTGGTTTGCTACCAACTGAACAGCCCCTGCCTTTTTTGCTGATACTCATGATACAGCAGAAACCTGGTGTGTTGTTAGTATCTGTATGAATGGTTGAATACTGTTTTCAGTACACCCATTCTTACCGTAGTTCACTCAATTTGTGTGTGATAGGGGTACACACAGGTCCACATCATGTCTCAATACACCCTGTAATTTCAATGCAATAGCTTGACCCACCTTATACCTCAACATTTAGGGTGTGCTGTAGGTGCAGTTGAGTACAAAATACAGCACAGACTTTCTTCACATGTTATTTGTTAAGGCAACCGTTGCTACCGGTACAACCACTACAGCTTCCAGAAACAGACTAGACTACAAGACAACATCGCATGCAGTGCATTGAAAGGGCATGGCAGGCGTGGCAGTCATGCTTGCCACATTCCATTCCACACACCTCCCCTCCTCCACCCCTCCTCCCTCCTCCTCCCTCCCATGCTGTCTTCCTCCTTGCCTTCCATTGTTCCCCACTTCCCTCCAGCTGCTGCCAGCCTGCAAATAGCATGCCATGCCACATGATGGCATGCCACACATGACACGCACATACCATGCCATGCCACGCGATGCCATGCCCACATAATGCCATGCCACACCATCCCATGCCACACGATGACATGCCACATGATGCCATGCCCACACGATGCTATGCGATGCAATGCCATGCCCACAGGATGCCATGCCAAAAAATGACATGCCATACCACGCGATGCCACACCATGACACGCCATAAATGACATGCCCACACCATGCCTCGCCACACCATGACATGCCATGGCACACTACATCACACAGTTTCACACAACACTGAATCTTACCAGACTAAATCATAATACACTCTATCATACCACATTGTATCATACTACACTGCATCACACCATACTGTTACATACAACAAAGCATCATACCACATTGAATTGTACCACACTGTTTCATGCCATTGTATCGTACCGCACACTATCATACCACACTGAATCATACCACAATGAATCATACCACACTGTATCATACCACACTGAATCATACCACACCGTATCATACCACACTGTATTGTACTGCACTGTTTCTTACCACTGTATCATACCACACTAATTTATACAACACTGTATCATTCCACACTGCTTCATACCGTATCAAACTACACGATTTCAGACCACTCTGTATCATACCACATGGTATCATCCATACCACACTATAGTATAACACACTATTTCATACCACACTATCAAACCACACAGTGTCATACCACACAGTATCATACCACACTGTATTGGAGCACATTATATCATACCACACTCTATTATACCACAATGAATCATACCACACAAAATCATACCGTATTCTAATACACAATACCAGACCACTCTGTATCATACCGCACTCTATCATACCACAAATTATCATCCCACACTAATTCAAACCGTATCAAACTGCACGATACCACACCATTCTGGATCATACCTCATACCACACTGTATCATAGTGCACTCTATCATACCACTCTGTATCATATCACACCACAGTACATCATACCAAACTATATCAGACCACTCTGTACCATACTACACACATATCCACAGTGTAACATACCACACATGCTGTATCTTACCACACACACTGTATCATACCACACTATATCATACCAGACTAGATCATACCACACTGTGCCATACCATACAGAATCATGCCACACTCCACCAAGATAACCCCCCACCACCCCTTGCCCTTTTCCACCTTTACCTGCCAGCAGTAGGCGCAGCAGATAGCCCACTCCCCTTCAGAAACAGCACCCTCAAGGGATGTGACTTGCAAGGCGAGGTGTGGCAGTGAAAAATTGCTTCCAGCCCAAGACTCAAATCCCACCCCTGACGTGGCTAGAGCTGACGCGAACCAGAGCCGCCGGCCGGTCGGCTCTGACAGTGTCCATTAAGCCTTAAACGCCAGATTGGAAACCTGAGCACCGAGTCCCGTGCCGCGCAAATTCCACCAACCACACCCCGATTCACAAGCCACAATTCCAAGGGATGCTGCCCCTAAAGAAGTGAACTGCCCACTCGCTCCCATGCTTCCCACCACCACCTCCCACCCCCACCTCCCTTCACCCCATGCCTCCTTACCTCTACTTACCACAGCCGAGCAGGGCGCCATGATGCCTCAGGCTGCTGGGAAGTGGGGAGGTGAGGGTGGGGGATTAACAGAGGGCAGGGCTCCACTGTTCTCCAGGCAGGGTGCTGATGGGAGGGAAGGGAAAAGGTGAGTGAGAGGGTGGACTCCACTCTCCGCCCTTGCTCCAGTGCTCCCAATCTCAGGCTGCGGGGAAGAAACGGGGGAGAGAGAGGGGGGGGATCAGATCACCATATCTCACCTGGTACCATACCACACCTTTTACCACACCTCCCCACACCTTGACCTAGCCTAGCCTAGCCCCCCACCCCCCACTGCTGCTGCTGCTGCTGCTGCTGCAGCAACTGCTGCTGCCGGTCTGCTACTCAGCTTCCTGCTACGGTCTTCGCTCGATGCCAAGTGACCTGGTAGCGGGCATAGAAAATGGAGAGGGGGGACAGGAGAGGAAGGGCAGGAGGAGGAACAGGTGAGTTGGCAGAAACAAGGAGCAGACTCAAGCTGACAGAAACGAGAATGGAAAAAACAAAGAGACAGCTGCAGCAGTTAGAGAACTAGAGGGAGGAGGGATGAGGCCAAGGAGGGGAGCTGACGCACCTTGAGAGGCCAAGCCCACCCCCATACTCTCCCTCGTGGCAGCAATTTGAGTCTGCTGCAGTGCTGCCTCCCATCCTATCCCCTCTGCACGGCTACTGGGGAGGGGCGTGGGGGAGGATCGGTGTTGACGCGGGAGGAGAAGGGAGTGAGCTCAGGAAGAGGATTCAGGTGGAGTGTGGGTGGCGGGTGAATCACGGTGGGAGCATGGGATGGCATGGGATGGCATGGGATGTGAGACATGGTGCAGCGACAACACTCCCTCCACAAGAGCCAAGTACCAAACCTTTACCTTTCACCTGAACCACAACCTGAACCTTAACCTGACCGGAACCTGAACATTTCACCATGTTAGAAAGCTAGAATTGATACATTGAATAATGAGCCAAGAGGCTCTTTAGTACAAACAATGAGCAAGAGAGAGATGAGAGGAAAGCTTACCCTATTGGCCAATAAGTTGGCCAATGGGTGAGCTTGCTTGTGACCCAAGCAACCACAAATGTGTGTTGGTTGGGATTGGTTGAGCTAAGGACCAATCCCAACCAACCACAAAATGTGGTTGGAGGGTACACTAAGCAACCCCCCAATTTATGAATGTGCTACACTTCTAGCCTATGTATGTTGTATGAAATATGAAATTACAACACAACCCCTCAACATGCATAAGGCTAGAAGGCTAGAATCAAGAGGCGGGAGGCGACTTAGGAGGAGTGAGGCCAAGAAGACGAAGTAGGAGAGAGTGAGCGGCATGAGGAAGAGCTTTTGTGAAGATGTCGGCAAGGTTGGCCGCCGAGTCAACCTTGTCGAGGCGAAGGTGCCCCGCCTGAAGAAGATCGCGAATGAAGAAATGACGGAGCTCAATGTGCTTGGAGCGCCCGTGAAACACAGCATCTTTGGTGAGGTGAATGGTACTAGCATTGTCACACCAAATTGTGGGACAGCGCTGGGGGGCACCAAGTTCCTCAAGAAGGAAGGTGAGCCAGTGGGCCTCTTGCGCAGCCATGGTGGCGGCATACAATTCCGCCTCGCAGGAGGAGAGGGCTGCAGCCGAGGAGCGGGTGGAGCGCCAGCTGATAAGGCCGCTGCCAAGAGAGAAGCCATAGCCCTGGGAGGAGCGACGATCTGGCCGGGAATCAGACCAGGAGGAGTCACTGTAGCCGCTGAGGAGAGGTGGGGAGGGGCCGCCAAGGGTAAGGACATAGTCCTTGGTGCCACGAAGGTACCGGAGGACACGCTTGGCGGCCTGCCAGTGCTCTTCCGTATGCTTGCCTGCGCCAACAAAACGAGCGAGGACGCTGATGGGGTAGGCAAGGTCAGGGCGAGTGGAGACCATGGCGTACATGAGGGAACCGATGAGCTCGGGATAAGGATGGGAGGAGGCTGAGGGGGAGGTGGGTGGAGAGAGGTGGTGCCCGACAGAAAGAGGAGTAGGTTGGGCGCCACCGCGGACCATGTCAAACCGCTCCAAGACCTGCTGCAAGTAATGACCCTGGGAGAGAGAGATGGTGCGGGCGGAGCGGTCGCGGGTGATGGTCATGCCCAGGTAATGCTGCAGCTCGCCCAAGTCCTTGCATTTGAGACGGCTGCCCAACTCAGCCTTAACACGCTCCAATTCGCCAAGGTCGGCAGTGAGCAGAATCATGTCATCGACATACACAAGGATGTAGAACGGGGAGGGGCAGGTGCGGAGGAAGAGGCTGGCGTCAGAGCGGGAGGTGCGGAACCCAAGTTCAGCAAGGGTGGCGGCAAGCTTAGCATGTCACTCCCTCGGGGCCTGTCGAAGCCCATACACAGGGCGACGCAGCTGCCAGACAGAGTCTGCAGGGAAGGGAAGGTGAAAACCGGCTGGACGCTCCATGTAGATAAGCTCGCGGAGGACGCCTTGGAGGAAAGCTTTAGAGACGTCCATCGAGTGGATCTCCATATTGAGGCGAGCGGCGAGGTCGAGCACGGCGCGAACAGTAGCAGGCTTGGCAGTGGGAGAGAAGGTATCGAAGAAGTCAAAACCATACCGCTGCGTGAACCCCTTGGCACAGTAACGAGCCTTATAGACGGGCGGCTCCCCTGGTAGCTGTTTGACGCGAAACACCCACTTCCCTTTCACCACGTTCGTAGAGGAGGGAGGGCGAGGCACATCAACGAAGGAGGAGTTGGCGACAAAGGCCTCCAGCTCCTTGATAATGGCGGCGAGCCAGAGTGGGGCGTCGGGGCAAGCCATGGCCTCCTCATACGTGGTAGGGATGAAAACGGAGGGAGCAGAGAAGAATGCGAATACTGGTGTCTCAGAAAGGTCGAAGGTGATGGGTAGAAGGGAAGGGTCACAGAGGTGGAGGTCAAGGAACTCCTCATGTGAGTCCTCGGAGAGGGAGGTGTGGAAGGAGCGAATGACCGTTGGTGCCGCTGGTGCCGCTGCTGGTGCCGCTGCTGGTGCCGCTGCTGGTGCCGCTGCTGCTGCCGCTGCTGGTGCCGCTGCTGGTGCCGCTGCTGGTGCCGCTGCTGGTGCCGCTGCTGGTGCCCCTGCTGGTGCCGCTGCTGGTGCCGCTGCTGGTGCCGCTGCTGGTGCCGCTGCTGGTGCCGCTGCTGGTGCCGCTGCTGGTCCCGCTGCTGGTCCCGCTGCTGGTGCCGCTGCTGGTCCTGCTGCAGGTGTCGCTGCTGGTCCTGCTGCTGGTGCCGCTGCGGGTGCCGTTGCGGACGCTGCTGCTGGCGCCGCTGCTGGAGAGGTGGCAGAGGGGGCTGCTGCAGGAGGAGGTTGATGCAGAACAGCCTGGAAGAAGTGGTGAAGGAGAGGGGAGAGTGGGGGGAGGGTAGAGGTAGAGAGGGTAACAGGGGGCGGTGCACCAAGGATACTGTCACGTGACCTGGTATGGGGGTACCGGGTAAGTACGGTGCGGGGAGGGGGGGAAGGACGAGTCGGCGGCGAGGGAGGTGAAGGAGGGGCGGGAGGGGCACTAGGAGAGGAATGTGTGGGGGAGACGGGAGAGGACAGAGGTTCCGGGTCAAATATATCACCAGACGAGGGAGGGGCACCGTGGGATGGGGACGACGGTGGGGGGGGGGGGGGGGAGGATGGGGGGAGGAGGAAGTAGTGGGGGAGGGGTGGTGTCAGACCAGACAAGGGGACGGGGAAGACGGGGGAGTGGGTCAGTGGATGGGGGAGAGGAGTAGTAGGGAGTGGACTCATCAAAGACCACATCCCTACTGCGGAATAGACGACCTGAGGGGGGATGGAGGAAAAGGTAGTCAGGTGAGGAGGAGTTATGACCAAGAAAGATGCAGGGAAGGGTACGAGGGGCAAGCTTTCCCATAGAGCGGGAGCGGTCAGTGGGGTGAAGGAGAACATAAGCCTTTGAGCCCCAGACACGAAGAGACGAGACATCAGGTTTGTTGTTCGTCCACAGCTCAGTGGGGGTGGTGGATGGGAGAAGAGGGTGAGGGTAAAGGTTAGTAAGGAGGGCGGCATGAAGGAGGGCGTAGCCCCACAGAGAAGGAGGGCAGGAGGCGTGGACAAGAAGACACCGGGCAGTTTTGGTGATCTCTCGAACACGACTTTCAGCCACACCGTTCTGCTGTGGGGAGTGAGGGAGGGTGTAAGTCTGAAGAATGCCATGAGACTGACAATAGGAGGATATTTGGTTGTTAAGGAACTCACCACCACCATCAGAGTGAAGGCGGCGAACAGGGCGCCCAAAATGGGTATTTGCCCGCTCGAGCCAGGCGATGATCGCAGCCGGGGCATCTGCCTTCGTCCGAAGGAGAGAGACGGACGAGTACCGACTGTGATCATCGACGAGTACGAGGAGGTATCGATGGCCCTGGCGAGTGGGAGAGGGATTGGGGCCCCAGAGGTCCATGTGAACAAGATCAAGTGGCTGAGCAGCAGCGAAGGGGGAGCTCCGGTGCGGCTGCTGCTTGAGCTTGCTCTGAACGCAGACGGTGCAGGGGGGGGCAGGGGATTTGGGGAGGGGAGGGAGGGAGGAGGGGAGACCGTGGAGGAGACCGGTGGAAACAGAGGAGCGTAGAGTAGCGAAGTTAGGGTGACCTAGCCTGTGATGGAGGAGGACGGCAGGGTGGGAGAGGGAGCGACAGGAGCAGGAGGAGTCAAGGGGAGGGCGGGAAGGGAGGTCCGGGTTAGTGGGAGGGAGAGGAGGAGGTGGGATGAGAGGGTGGAGGGGGGGACAAGAGATGACCTGACAGGAGGGGAGGCGAGGAACCCGAAGGGTGTACAGACGGGAGCGAGGGCAAAAGGGAATGCGAGAAAGGAACTGACCGGTGGCGGAATGGTAGAGAGCGCAATAGTTAGCATGAGCTGGGAATACTGTGGTGATACCGGCTTGCTGAAGGGACCTTTGCGAAAGGAGATTAGCGCGAAGAGAGGGTATGTGGAGACCGGTGACAGTGCCTGAGGGGAAGAGTGGGCAGGGGAGAGTCGAGGTGTTATGGCAGGGGATAGAGAAGCTGCTGTCGGCGCCAAGGAGGGAGGTAGGCGTTGGGAGGGGGCGCAAGGTGCCAGCATCGCGAAGAACTGTGTCAGTGGCGCCGCTGTCGAGGACAAAATCGACAGTGGAGGAGAGGGAGGAGGAAGGGACAGAGGACTGGAACGCAGTTTCGTTAGTGGTAGAGGAGTATGTGGCAGGTGCAGTTGATGTGGCTTGATTGACCATACCAGCGATACCAACGGATGAGAAAGGTGGGACGATGCTTGAAGTGACGGAGCTTGTGGAACAATGCGGAACTGAGTTCTGCTGGGAAGTTGGGGGAGGAGGAGGAAGAGGCAGCTGCGGTTGTAGGTCAAGGTGCTGCTGCAGGCGGTGAAGCAACTGCTGGAGCTGGAGGAGGAGGTGCCAGAGCTGCTGCTGGTGCTGCTGTTGCTGCGGTTGTTGCTGCTGCTGCTGCTGCTGCTGCTGCTGCTGCTGCTGCTGCTGCTGCTGCTGCTGCTGCTGCTGCTGCTGCTGCTGCTGCTGCTGCTGCTGCTGCTGCTGCTGCTGCTGCTGCTGCTGCTGCTGCTGCTGCTGCTGCTGCTGCTGCTGCTGTTGCTGCTGCTGCTGCTGCTGCGGAGGAGGAGGAGGAGGAGGAGGAGGAGGAGGAGGAGGAGGAGGAGGAGGAGGAGGAGGAGGAGGAGGAGGAGGAGGAGGAGGTAGAGAGAAGGGTTGACTCGGGGCATGGTGGGCTTGGGTGGAGAGTTTACACTGAAGTCCCCGAGTCGGGCCATAGCGAGGCACATATTCACGAGGAGAGAAGGCTGCTGCTGCGCCGCAGCCTGCGCTCAAACCCCTGACACCACAATATCCTGCGAGTCTCCCTTGACCACCACCACAGCTGCCACTATGCCCTCCTCCATGCCCACCGGTACCACTGCTGATGCATGCCAGTGCGACTGTTGCCATGGGGGAAGCAATGTGGGGTGTGGGCGGTGCACAGGCGAGCAGGGCATGAAGGTGTGCGCAGGCAGCTGACGGTATGCGCAGGCAGCTGACGGTATGCGCAGGCAGCTGACGGTATGCGCAGGCGGGTGTGCTGTATGTGCTCCCAGGTGTGCGGTATGTGCTGACAGGTGTGCGGTATGTGCTGACAGGTGTGCGGTATGTGTTGTCAGGTGTGCGGTATGTGCTGTCAGGTGTGCGGTATGTGCTGTCAGGTGTGCGGTATGTGCTGTCAGGTGTGCGGTATGTGCTGTCAGATGTGCTGTATGCGCGTGCAGATGTGCTGTATGCCAGGGAGGTGGGCAGGGGGCGGACGAGGGGAGGGGGACAGCGAGCGGGGAAGGAGGGCGTGCAACGAGTGCGCGGACGGGGAGAGCGTGGACGACCGGAGCGCGGACGAGCAGGGCGTGCAGACGAACAGGGCGCGCGGACGGCCAGGGTGCGGATGACTAGGGCGCGCGGACGGCCAGGGTGCGGATGACTAGGGCGCGCGGACGGGCAGGGCGCGGACGCGAAGGGCGGATGAGCAGGGCGTGCGGACGGGCAGGGCGCGGACGAGCAGGGCGTGCGGACGGGCAGGGCGGGGACGCGAAGGGCGGACGAGCAGAGCGCGCGGACGGGCAGGGCGCGGACGACCAGGGCGCGCGGTCGGACTAGCAAGGCCGTGCGAGTTGCAGATCTGAGCACGCGGAATGCAGATTTGGGCGCGGGAGAGTAGATCTGAGTGCGGAATGTGCAGATCTGAGCGCGAAATGCGCAGATCTGAGGGCAGGAGGAGTAGAGCAGGGCGCGGGAGGAGTAGATCTGAGCTCGGGAGGAGGAGATGTGAGCTCGGGAGGAGTAGATCTGAGTTCGGGAGGAGTAGATCTGAGCTGGGGAGGAGTAGATCTGAGCTCGGGAGGAGTAGATCTGAGCTCGGGAGGAGTAGATCTGAGCTGGGGAGGAGTAGATCTGAGCTCGGGAGGAGTAGATCTGAGCTCGGGAGGAGTAGATCTGAGCTGGGGAGGAGTAGATCTGAGCTCGGGAGGAGTAGATCTGAGCTCGGGAGGAGTAGATCTGAGCTGGGGAGGAATAGATCTGAGCTCGGGAGGAGTAGATCTGAGCTCGGGAGGAGTAGATCTGAGCTGGGGAGGAGTAGATCTGAGCTCGGGAGGAGTAGATCTGAGCTCGGGAGGAGTAGATCTGAGCTGGGGAGGAGTAGATCTGAGCTGGGGAGGAGGAGATCTGAGCTCGGGAGGAGGAGATGTGAGCTCGGGAGGAGTAGATCTGAGCTGGGGAGAAGTAGATCTGAGCTCGGGAGGAGTAGATCTGAGCTCGGGAGGAGTAGATCTGAGCTCGGGAGGAGTAGATCTGAGCTGGGGAGGAGTAGATCTGAGCTGGGGAGGAGTAGATCTGAGCTGGGGAGGAGTAGATCTGAGCTGGGGAGGAGTAGATCTGAGCTGGGGAGGAGTAGATCTGAGCTGAGGAGGAGTAGATCTGAGCTGGGGAGGAGTAGATCGGAGCTCGGGAGGAGGAGATGTGAGCTCGGGAGGAGTAGATCTGAGCTCGGGAGGAGAAGATCTGAGCTCGGGAGGAGAAGATCGGAGCTCGAGAGGGGTAGATCTGAGCTTGGGAGCACTGTAGTAGGACTACGTCTGAGGGACGGGGAGGAGAGGGTGGCCTAAGGACCGAGGGATCAAGGCGTGAGCCAATAGCTCATGATACCATGTTAGAAAGCTAGAATTGATACATTGAATAATGAGCCAAGAGGCTCTTTAGTACAAACAATGAGCAAGAGAGAGATGAGAGGAAAGCTTACCCTATTGGCCAATAAGTTGGCCAATGGGTGAGCTTGCTTGTGACCCAAGCAACCACAAATGTGTGTTGGTTGGGATTGGTTGAGCTAAGGACCAATCCCAACCAACCACAAAATGTGGTTGGAGGGTACACTAAGCAACCCCCCAATTTATGAATGTGCTACACTTCTAGCCTATGTATGTTGTATGAAATATGAAATTACAACACACCAAGGGGGGAGGCTCTGTGGAAGGGTGGTTGGCATGACGCAAGGAGGAAGGCGGCAGTGCAGGGGACGTTGGGATGTGTGGGCTGGAGGGCTGAAACAAGAGATTGAACTGAAAGAGAGACTGAGCGGACTAGAAACCAAAGGGCTGAGAGCTTATCTCTGTGTGGAGCGTTGGGGGTGCCTTGCTGCTGCACCTTTCTGCTGCCCCTTGCTACACGAGAGGCTTCGAGCCGGGCAGACAGGGGGGGATAGGGTGAGGATGGGGAGACGGAAGAGGGGAGGGGTTGGGAATGAGTGAAGGGAAGCTACGGAGGGCACAAGGGGGGGAAATGCGTGCATGTGCAGTGGGTGATGGTGAGAGCATGGGATGGCATGAGATGGTGCACGGTGCAGCGCCCTCCAGAGGAGCCAAGTACCAAAACCTGAACCAAAACCTGTACCTTCCACCTGAACCATAACCTGTACCTTCCACCTGAACCATAACCTGTACCTCTACCAAGGGGGGAGGCTCTGTGGAGGGGTGGTTGGCATGACAGCAAGGAGGAATGCACATGGGGGGGTATGGCAGTGCAGGGAATGTTGTGGGATGTGGGCTTGAGCTGAAACAGGAATGGAGCGGGTATGAAACCAAGGGTGTGGGCTTATCTTTGTGTGGAGCGTTGAGGGTGCCTTGCTGCCCCTTGTTGCAGTCCCTTGCTGCTGAGACTACGTAGAAGAGGGTTGGAGCAGAGAGCCTGACAGTCAAGGGGGGGATATGCGGAGGACAGGGGGACGGAAGAGGGGAGGAGCGGGAATGAGTGAAGGGAAGGTATGTAGGACACATGTGGTGGAATGCATGAGATGGTGGTTGGGTGATGGTGAGAGCATGGGATGGCATGAGATGGGATGCCAACCCTCCACAGGAGCCAAGTACCAAACCTTCACTTTCAAACCTGAACCATCACCTGAACCTCTATACCAAACAAAAAAACTGACAGGGGGGAGGCTCTGTGGAGGGGTGGTTGGCATGACAGTGCGGACAAAGGCGGATGGGGGGATGACAGAGCAGGGAAAAGTGGTGTTCAAACAACTGCTTGAGCTGAAACAGAAACTGCCCATGTTGTAACCAAGGGTGTGACTTATCTTAGTGTGGAGCGTTGAGAGGGTTGCTTAACTGCCCCTTGCTTCTGCACTTTGCAGCTGCTGCGCCTTGCTGCTGCCCCTTGCTCCTGCGCTTTGCTGCTGAGACAGGGGAGGGTTGAAGCAGAGAGTTTGGCAGGCAGGGGAAGGCAGGGAAGGGGTAGACGAGAGGGACAAGGAAAGCGTCCAAGATTGAGTGAAGGGAGGCTATGGAGGGCACAAGGGATTGCGTGCATGTGCTCTGGATGATGGTGAGAGCATGGGATGGCATGAGATGCTGCATGATGCAGTGACAACACTCCCTCCACAGGAGCCAAGTACCAAACCTTCACCTTTCACCTGAACCATAACCTGAATTGAACCTAAACCCAAAGAAAGACCTAGTACCTTAACCAAGGGGGAAGGCTCTGTGGAGGGGTGCTTGGCATGACAGCGAGTGGAGGGAGGCGCAGGAGGAGGTGGACTAGAAACCATTGTTGTGCAGGAGGTCGTGAGCTTATCTTTGTGTGAAGCGTTGAGGCTGCCTTGCTGCCCCTTGCTGCTGCACCTTGTTACTGCCCCTTTCTGCACGTCAGGCTTTGAGCAGAGAGCCTGGCAGACAGGGGGGGATAAAGGAGGCCGAGTGGAGGGAAGAAGGGAGGGAGCGGAAGTGATTAAAGGGAGGACACAGGCAGCGGGATGTGTGCATGTGCAGTGGGTGATGGTGAGAGCATGGGATGGCATGACAGGCGGCATGGTGCAGCGCCCTCCACAGGAGCCAAGTACCAAAACCTGAACCATAACCTGAACCTTGCACCTGAACCTCTACCTGGAAAAAAACCTGAAACTACCAATGGGGGAGGCTCTGTGGAGGGGTGGTTGACATGACAGCAAGGAGGAATGCGCAAGGAGGGTATGGCAATGCAGCGAATGTTGGGATGTGGGCTCAAAGAAGAGATTGAGCTGAAACAGAAACGGAGCGGGTATGAAACCAGGGTTGTGGACTTATCTTTGTGTGGGCGTCGAGGGTGCTTTGCTTAGCCTTGCTGTGCTTGCGCGTTGGACTCCTGTAGAGGCTTGGAGCAGTGAGCCTGACAGTCGGGGGTAAGGTGAGGGCGGGGGGAGGGAAGAGGGGAGGGAAGAGGGGAGGAAACGTGAGTGAGTATAGGGAAGCTATGGAGGATACTGGAAAGGGGGAAGCGTGAATGTGCAGTGAGTCATGACACGGTCACACGAAGAATGGTGCTGTACCCTCCATGCCCTCCACAGGAGCCAAGTACCAAACCGTTATCTTTTACCTGGACCTTTACCTGAAAAGAAAAACCTGGACCTTCACCGAGGGGAGAGGCTCTGTGGAGGGGTGGTTGGCATGACAGCAAGCAGGAAGGCGGATGGGGGGTATGCATGACATTGCAGTGCATGTCGGGATGTGGGCTGGAGAGCTTTTCATGTGCAACAGGAACGGAGTGGGTAAGAAAGAAACCACGGGTGAGGGCTTATCTTTGTGTAAAGCGTTGATGGTGCTTTGCTAGGCCTTAGTCCTGCGCCTTCCTCCTGTGCCATGCTCGTGGGCCTTCCTCCTGTGCCATGCTCGTGGGCCTTCCTCCTGTGCCATGCTCGTGGGCCTTCCTCCTGTGCCATGCTCGTGCGCCTTCCTTCTGTGCCATGCTCGTGGGCCTTCCTGCTGCGCCTTGCACTCCAGTAGAGGCTTGGAGCAGCGAGCCTGACAGTCAGGGAGGGATAGGGTGAGGACGGAGGGAAGGAAGAGGGAAGGGAGCGGGAATGAGTGAAGGGAAGGTATGGAGGACACAAGGGACGGAATGCATGCATATGCAGTGGGTGCATGTGAAGGGAAAGTGAGCCATGGTGCAGCGGCCAACGCTCCCTCCACAGGAGCCAAGTACCAAACCTTTACCATTCACCTGAACCATAACCTGAACCTTAACCTGAAAAGAAACCTGAACCTCACCAAGAGGGAAGTCTCTGTGGAGGGGTGGTTGGCATGAGAGCCAGGGGGAGGGCGGATGGGGGGATGACAGCGCAGGGAACATGAGCTTGAGCTGAAAGAGAAAAGGAGCGGGTATGAAACCAAGGGGAGAGGGCTTATCTTTGTGCGGAGCGTTGAAGGTGCGTTGCTGCCCCTTGCTGCTGTGCCTTGCTGCCCCTTGATGCTGCGCCTTGCTTCTTCACCTTGCTGTTGCACCTTGAACAGGCTTGAAGCAGAGTGCCTGGCAGTCAGGGGGGGAAAAAGAAGGGTAGAAGGGAGGAAAGAGGGAAGTGAGCAGGAGGGAGTGAAGGGCCGCTATCGATGACACAAGGGAGAATGGGTGATGGTGAGCGTGAGCATGGGATGGCATGAGATTGGGTATGCTGCTGTGCCATGCCAACCACGCCCTCCATAGAAGCCAAGTACCACACCTCGTAACTCCACCTCGCATCCTCACCTGAACCTTCACCTGAACCCCAACCTGACCTACACCTGAACCAGCACCTGACCTAAACTTGGGGGAGAGGCTCCATGGAGGGACGGCTGACACAGCAGCAGGTGGGGGGGCGAGGAAATGGCAAGGCAGGCAGCATGGCGGTAGGGGTTGCAAAAGCAGACAGGGAGCAGATGAGAACCCAAGGGCGGTGAGCTTATCTGTTGATGGCGCGTGCACGGGCGCTGCAGGCCCGGGCGCTCGCTTGCAGGCGTGCAGAGGGGCCTCGGTGGTGCCTTGCGCCTTGGTGATGCCTTGAGTGTTGGCTAGCGAGGGGCCTCCAAACCAAAACAACACCTGCCAGCGAAGGAGAGGCAGAGAAAGAAAGAGAGTGAGTGCAAGGAAACCATGGCTGTAAGGAAAACGAAGTGAGAGCTGTGCAAGAGTGGTGTGGGGAGTGAGTGGTGAGCATGCAAGGTGCACCACAACCTTTACCGTACCTCAACCTTTACCGTGCCTCAACCTTTACCGTGCCTCAACCTTTACCGTACCTCAACCTTTTCCGTGCCTCAACCTTTACCGTGCCTCAACCTTTACCGTACCTCAACCTTTACCGTGCCTCAACCTTTACCGTGCCTCAACCTTTACCGTACCTCAACCTTTACCGTGCCTCAACCTCAACCTTTACCGAAGTGGGGGGAGGGGGGGCTGTTGTGGTGTGTGGAGGTGGATACTTGCAAGCTTGAGCCTTCAATTGGGAGCTGCTCATGTGCGCCGCAGCACAGCAGCCCCTCCAGCTGGACCATGAGGCGCCTTCACCCCTCGCCAGCCGTCCACAGGAGCTGCCGCTGCCACATGGGCGAGCAGGGGCGCCCAGGAGGAGCTGTCGCTGCAAGATGGGCTCCTGGCAGGCAGGGGAGAAGAAGCACGACAGAGAGCAAGCAGAGAGAGAGTCATTCACCAAACTGCCTGTCAGAGCATGCATCTGTGGTGGGGATGCTGTGAGCATTACATGGGATGCTGTGAGATGCGGCATGGTGCAGTGCAGTGCTCGCCACGCCCTCCACAGGAGCCAAGTACCAAAACTTGTACCTCATACCAACCTTAACCTGAACCAACCATATCATACCTGTACCTTGACCGAAGGGGAGGAGGCTCTGAGGAGAGGTGGCTCGCATGCACGCAAGCAAGCGATGCTTGCGGATGGGGATGGCGAATGACAGACATGCATGTGGAGAGAAACAGGCAGAGAGAGAATAAAGCCGAGGAGACGTATCTGTATGTGGGGCGAGTGAGGCGCCTCAACAGGCGATGCTGCAGGCCTTGGAGCTTGCAGCAGTGCAGAGGGGCCTTGAAGGTGCCTCGCGCCTTGGTGCTGCCTTGAGTGTTGGTGCTAGCGATGGGCCCTCCTCTGCTCCTTTGCTCCTCTGCTCCTCTGCAGCTTGCGCCCACGCCGCCAGCCTTGTGAGCAGAAGGGCCTTGGCGTTCCAGCGGTCATTCAAACGTGCCAGGGAAGCGAGGAGAGAAGTCAGTGAGTACATGGCGGCAGGCAACAATCCAACGGAAAGAAGATGCGAATGAAGGACAGATGCACGACCACAACACCACAAGAGCCAGGTAAAAAAAAAACACCTGAAGGGGTACCTGAACCTTGACCTTCACCAGGGGGGGGGCTCATGTGGAGTGTGGAGGGCGCAAATGATACTTTCAACCTTCTATAAGTTGGAGGCTGCGCCTTTGCTCCTCTGCTCCTCTGCAGCTTTGCACCCACGCCGCCAGCCTTCAATTCAACCTTCACTGTTGCAATTAGTTGTTAAATCGTGGCTCCCGTGTAGTCCGTTCACTTGCACCCCTTGAATTCGGCATGAGCTGGCCTGGGTGGCCAGGCTTCCTCATTGGGATGGTCGTGGCTGGTCACTTCTCAGTTTGATGGGTGGTGCTGACTCCTGCAAAAGAGCACAGAAAAGAAGCTCAGTACAAGAACAGGAAAAAGGCGAAACTGAGGCTGAAACGGCAACAAAACAAAATCTGGAACATACTTGGAATAACGGTGGTTGGAGCAGGAGAAGGAGGTGTGCAACAGCAGTTGTTGCTTCAGCCAGCGTCCTGATGTTAATGTAGCCAGCGAGATGATATTGCTGCAGGCAGCGTTGTACACATTGGTGCAGAGACTCGTGCCTGCACACAAATCACCACGAAATGTTAATTTCTGGATGATTGCACCGCAGTAGCCAATCGAAAATCAATTGACGAAAGAAATTTTAACTAGGCCCTTGGGAGCTCACCTCGGGAATGAAATTGAGAACTGCGGTCAGCTAATCGGTGAATGGCGAGGCGAATGGCGGATGGCGGAACTCCCGAGGTAAACGAAGCCGTACAGCGGAGAAAGGATGGAAGAAGTGGAGAATCAGGCCTTGGAGGAGTAAATTGGTGGCGTGGACGTGGATTCAGCGAACCGGAATTGTCCTTGGAGAAATAGAAATGTTAGAAATGTGCGGAGCGAGAACGATGACGTAGCAAAACTGGTAGAATGATCGAAGGGTCCTTCGCGAAATGAGGGTCGGGAAATGAGGGTCGCGAAATGAGGATGCTGAGAGGCAAAATGCCACGAAAGAGCCCTACGCAGTATAATTTCCCTGGAACTTGAGTCGCTGACGTCATGTGTGGTCGAAATGTTACGTCGCGGTAAAATCGAAATGACCTTCAAAGGTAAAAAAAATGCCTTGCTGGTCTCTACGGTGGTCCCAAAGAGTGCCAGCATGGAATATTCTACAACCAGGGAAAGAAATGAAAGGAAAGGTTCGCCTTGCACCACGTCATACAGAATCCTCACTTCATTGAAAAAATCCGCCTAGGGAGTTTCCGATTTGCCTACGTGGGCTTTTTCGAACGGTAGATAGTTCGCAGACCCACGTGAAGAAACCAACTCCGAAGCTGGTCACATGAGAGTGACGTGTTCATGAAATGCATGACGTTTATCCCATTTCACACCACCAATCTCATCGAGGTGCGCCAGTTGTACTTTCTAATTGGGTAGAAAAGGCGGTGGAAAAACAAGAGAGCAACGACTGGGAACGGTGGGCGCGAAACTTGTGCTCTGGGAATTGTTACTGACAACGCAAGCTGGAGAAAACATGAAAACTTGAGGTGGGGGGTAGAGAAGCTGGCGAGAGATCGAACGTTTGGCGAACTTGTTGGCGAATTCCGCATCCCTCATATAGGTCATGCAGCTGCAAGATTTAAGGAGAACAGCAACTCAAGAATTTTTGTTCAGAAGTAAAGTATATACATAAGATTTTTCACTAATCAGTCATCCCTCATAATCATTCATAATTCAGGGTAACGATGGGTTGAATCAGGTTTGGGAGGGTGTAGCAAACACTAAATACGACAGTTGGTGCCTGTGGTACGGGAAGGTCGACGAGCCCCATGCGACGTTGCGACAAGTCGGCGATTGTCAAGTTGGTTTCTGGTTCAGTCACCGAGAAGGCCATCAGACCAGCCCAAGCGTCGCTGTCTGCTGATTGGTCCAGCAGCGACTCGCACCCCGCTGTACACCGCATAGTCCACTGACTGCCACACGGCGCAATCCGATTGGTCATTGCGGCAGAAGCGATCACGGGCAGCACGCATAAATATGTGACCCCACCCCTACTTCTCCTTCACAAGACCACCACTGTCAAACCCTTTCCCCGCCATTCCATTCTTCCATTCTCTCATCCTCATTCTGCAGGAGAAACTGAACATCACTGCGGCTGCTGCTATCATGCAGACTTGAGCAGACAAACAGCAATTCGTAGTGTGCCTGGGGCCATGGCCGTCTGACAGTATCTTATAGTTTACTGTTTACGCCTGAACGACGTGTTGCCATTTTTTTGTTTTCCTGTGTATCGCGTCGCGTTGGAGTACTATGATTGACTGTAGAGCCCCGACAAAGATCTGATTGCCGAATTGAGCGGCGAGCTGCGAGCATGTCGTCGGCGGTGACGCACATCTACCTGCACGTCATCCAGGACGTCATTAAGAACGTTCGACCCGACTTCCAGAGCGACGGCGTCGACGAGAGCGTCCTCCAAGAGCTGCAGCAGGTGCGTCCGTCTCCCCTGCGGCAGGTCCGTCTCTCGCAGCAGGTCCATCCGTCTCCCCCGCTCGCAGCAGGTCCGTCCGTCTCCCCCGCTCGCAGCAGGTCCGTCCGTCTCCCCCGCTCGCAGCAGGCCCGTCCGTCTCCCCCGCTCGCAGCAGGTCCGTCGCTCGAAGCAGGGCCGTCGCTCGAAGCAGGTTCGTCGCTCGAAGCAGGTCCGTCGCTCGAAGCAGGTCCGTCGCTCGAAGCAGGTCCGTCGCTCGAAGCAGGTCCATCGCTCGCAGCAGGTCCGTCGCTCGCTCGTTAGATTTCCCGTTCTCCATATCTCGTCCCTTCAGTGCGTGCTGGATCTCCTGTTCCTCGCCACCACAGCCTGCTTTTGAATAAACCGTCCGAAACACACTGCATATCGCTCGTCTGATCAGTGCTCATGGTTTCCTTTTTCAGCGCTACCGTCCCCCCTTTAGGTCCATCGCTGCTGTTCCCGTCGCTCACTGCGCGCCCCTTCAGTGCGGTCATACCGGACACCCTTTTCGGCGCTACCGCGGCATGCCCGCCGCTGACCGTGCTTTACCTTCCTATGGCCCTCTTTCCTGTCTTCAGTCACAACCCGTTTCTCGGCGACTGACATATCTGTCGCCGCACCCCCCGCGGCCACCACAACCTTTCCCTACGTTTATTCCCCTCTCCCCCTTTCTCCTCCCCCCCTTATCCCCTTCCCCCCCCTTCCCCACTTCCCCTCTTCCCCCCCCCTTCCCCACTTCCCCCCTTCTTCCCCTCCCTCGGCTACCCCGGTCAGCTATGGGAGGCGAAGGTGATGCAGTCGGGTGCGGTCATCCCTGTTGGCGGGTATGCGCTTCCGCCGCCTGCGCCGCCGGCCGCTGAGGTGGATGTAGGCGCGGGGGAGGCGGAGGAGGGGCCGCTAGGGGGGGCGGAGGCGGAAGCAGCGGCGGAGGAGGCCGGAGGGGAGGAGGGTGGCGAGGGCGCGGGACACGGAGGGGGATTCGCGGGACATGATTTGAACATGCCTTATAGCGGGGATGGTGGAGAGGCGGAGGACGAGCAGGCCCTGTCGCTGGGAGCATCCCACGCATCGGTAAGGCCCCAGCTACCTGCATCCCACGCATCGGTAAGGCCCCAGCTACCTGCATCCCACGCATCGGTAAGGCCCCAGCTACCTGCATCCCACGCATCGGTAAGGCCCCAGCTACCTGCATCCCACGCATCGGTAAGGCCCCAGCTACCTGCATCCCACGCATCGGTAAGGCCCCAGCTACCTGCATCCCACGCATCGGTAAGGCCCCAGCTACCTGCATCCCACGCATCGGTAAGGCCCCAGCTACCTGCATCCCACGCATCGGTAAGGCCCCAGCTACCTGCATCCCACGCATCGGTAAGGCCCCAGCTACCTGCATCCCACGCATCGGTAAGGCCCCAGCTACCTGCATCCCACGCATCGGTAAGGCCCCAGCTACCTGCATCCCACGCATCGGTAAGGCCCCAGCTACCTGGTAAATACATCAAAGCCTTGGTTGGTTGTTAATGCTTTGAATGGACGTTATTTAGGGTGGTTCTGTTTACACATACCCCTTCAAATCGTGTGAATTCGTTTTTGGTGCTTTGCTCCCTGTGCCATCACATCTAGCAGCATGCGCCCCCTCTCCCACACCTCTGCTGCGCCCCTCGTTTCACTCCTCTCATTCCCTCCCTGCTGTGCATGGCCCCTCCCTCCCTTGTTCTCGCGCGGCACCCCAGTATTCAAGCGGGCATGTCACATCCAGTCTCGATGGCCGCCCACTGCCCTTCATGGTATGCCACATGCACCACCCATGCATGCACCTGGCATCCATCCGCCTCGTACCATGTCACACATCACGCATCACACTACACGTTCAGCTGAGTGGTGCTGCACATGCCAACCCACGGATTTGTTCCCTGTCCCCCCTTCCTGTCCGCGCTAACAGCCGCGCCAGGAGGCGTGGGAGCAGAAGCCCTTCATGGTCGACATGAACGCCGGTCAGTGCCCCCCACTGGCCTCACTGCCCTGCCGCCCCGCCGCCTTGCTGCCCTGCTGCCCTGCTGCTGTGCTGCCCTGCTGCCCTTCTGCCTTGCTGCTGTGCTGCCCTGCTGCCCTGCTGCTGTGCTGCCCTGCTGCCCTGCTGCTGCCCTGCTGCCCTGCTGTCGTGCTGCTGTGCTGGCGTGCTGTGCTGTGCTGCTAGCCTCTCGTCGCGCCCCACATGCACGCACCTGCCCGCCTGTCCGTCCACTCACCGCGTCCACCAATTCTGCCCGCCTTGGAAACCCACCGCGCCGAACCTCCGTTGCTCTCTGTGTGACCGACTGTGCGTGTGTGCAGTGCCTGAGGAGGACACGTACGCTGATGCTGCTGCCTCGGACGAGGCCACTCTGGTACGCCGGGCCTGTATGTGTGCGTGCTGTTAGCGTGCATCCGTGCACGCTCTTGCAAATGGATCTGTGCATATGCAATAACCAATCCCGTTGTGCACATGCATTTGCCCGCCTCCGCTCCCGGGGTGCATCCGCGCCCAGTGTGAGCTGGTCCAATGAGATCCGGCCCTGCTGTGTTTGAGGTGCCTCAATTGTAGCCCCTGGTTTCTCCTGCACCGTGTGTGTGCGGGGTGCTGGGCGTGTGTGCTCCCAGGGTCTGCTGCCGGCAGAGCTGAAGCGCAAGCGAGCAGAGGAGGGGCCGGGCGGGTACGGGGAGGACGCGGGGATGGATGCAGCCGAGGGTGACACCAGCAGACCCCGCCTCACCCCCGAGTACGCCTTCCCTCAGGCTGACGGAGCCAGTGACAGCATGCCACGTGGTGCCTCACAATGGGCCCACGACATGCTGAGTCAGCTAGAGCACAAGCATGGGGGGGGTGGAGGAGGAAGACAGGGAGAGGAGGCGAGTGGGGAGAGGAGCAGATTGGATGGGGGAGTGGAGGGAGGGTCGGGTGGTGCAGGCGCAGCAGAAGGGCGGGATGGGTCGGGAAGGCGGGTGCAACAAGCGGCAGGGGGAGCCGAGGGGCGGGAAGCACGTGGTAGACGGGGGGTTGGCAGGAGCGGCAGGGGCGGCAGGGGGGGGAGGCAGTGGGTGGTGGAGAGGCGGTGCATGCGGCAGGTGGATGGGCATGGCGACGAGGAGGATGGTGATGAGGCCGACGAGGTGAGTGAGAGCCTCTCTCTCTCCCTTTCCTGCCATGACAGTCGGACTGGTAGCAGTGAGGTGCTGCATTTCTGCGTTTTTTCAGCCATGCCCCAACTCTCCTCGCCCCCATGTTCCGCCATGTGGTTGCTGTTGCAGGGAGAGGAGGAGGAAGAGGAGGAGGGGGGGGCGGCAGGGGAGGCAGAGGAGGAGGAAGAAGAGGAGGACTACAACGACCCGGCAGCCCGCACTGACACCGGTTCGTTTCTCTGATCCTTTCCCTTGGGCATTCGGTCATTCCACTGCCAGCTCATGGCTCATGTCGTTCCACTGCCAGCTCATGGCTCATGTCGTTACACTGCCAGCTCATGGCGTGGTCCTTATCACCACTTGTTGCCTGTCCATTGGCCACAGCTATGCCACACCTTGACACGTCACTCCACTGCAACCCACAGCAAGTGCTTGCGTCTTTCTGATTCGTCCTGGACCTTGCAACCTCTCCACACGTTTGTTCCATGTGTTGTGGGGTGTGCGTGCATGTGCTGTGTGCGGGGAGGGCAGCCAAGGAGGAGGAAGAGGAGGAGGAGCTGGGGCCAGCAGACGATGACGAGTCGCTGGGGGCGGAGGATGATGATGATGATGACGACGATGGGCGGGGGGTCATAGGGGCGGATGAGGAGGGGCAGGATGGCAACATCGTGCTTGCCACCTATGAGAAGGTGTGATGGGGAAGGGTGGTAGTGGGAAAGGTTGCGAGGGGTTGTGGAATGGTGGTTGTGGGGGTCATAGGGGCAGATGAGGAGGGGCAGGACGGCAACATTGTGCTCGCCACCTTTGAAAAGGTGTGATGGGGGGAAGCGGTACTGGGAAAGGGGGGAGTCGGTGTTGGGGAAGGGGGAGAGGGGAGGAGGGGCAGGACGGCAACGTCGTGCTCGCCTCTTATGGGGAAGATTGGGGAGGAGGGGGAGGGGAGGAGTGAGGGGAATGGGGTGTGGGAGGGTCAAAGGGGCTGAGGAGGGTGGGGAGGGGAGTGAGGGTTGTGGGATCCCTGGCAGGTTCTTATAGATTCACGAGCTCCGACATTCACTGGCACTGCTACTGCTTCTGGTTGTTGCGCCTGCTTGTGTGTGGCTGTTTATTGATTGTGTTTGGCGTTGTTCCGAATGCCCCGTGTTCATGCAGGTGACGCGCCAGAAGAATCGATGGAAGTGTCTGTTGCGGCACGGAGTCATGAGCCTAAATGGTCGTGACATACTTTTCTTCAAAGCCAACGGCGAATTCGAGTTTTAACTGTTGGTAATTTCAACGCATGCACCATGCAAGAGTTGCTCAAAAGGACACCAAAGCCTAGGACTTGGTCCTTTCTTTGAATCAGCTATTGTTTTATCTGTTTAAGCCATACCGTATTAAGGCTCATGAATACTTACACTCGAGTTCCCGTTACAAGCATATGTCTTCGAAAGTCGTGCCACACCCTTGACACGTCACTCCCCCTGATCTCTTCACTCCGCGCGTCAGATCCAGCGAACCCCCGCGAGAGCCGCCTGCCTTATGCCAACCCTGCCCGCCTGGTCAACTTCCGTGCCCCTGTGTCCCCCCTACCCGCTCCTCCCGCTCCTCGTTCCGCCAGCTCGCTGCACACCAAAAACCTAAGCTTTCGAGTTAGTCGCTACCAACCGAACAGCAGGTTAGGTCTTAGATATTATATCGTACTTAGGGCAGTAGTGCGTGGCGAAACCCAGTTTTTGGGGGATCATGTGACGTGCGTCTCCCATGTGGTCGCAGTCAGACATCGTATCAGATTCGCATTCGAATTCAGATTCTCTCACTTAACGCGTTGAGAACCCCAGCTCGTGTCTTATTCTATTCGGCCGACTTCGCTTCGCAATTACCTAGACAGCACCGCCTGTCACGGCCACGAAAACCCTCGAATCTTTGTGAACTCAGAAAACAGCGAGCAGCCGTATCACCAGCGGAAGTAGTCTCGCGGTTAGGTCGACACCGACCAGAGCGGGCAAGGCTACGAGCGCGGCGATCGCAGCAGTCGCAGCGGAATGTCGCTGCCGTCGCAGTCGCACCTGTCGGGCAGCATGGAGCGCAAGCGCGTGGGGTCGGGGTCGTCGCTCGCGCCGTCCGCGGCGGCGGCGGCGCAGGCGCCGCTGGTGTGCCACGGGCACTCGCGGCCGATTGTGGAGATCGCGTACAGCCCGATCACCGACGACGGCTTCTTCCTCATCTCCGCCAGTAAAGGTGCGCGCGCCCCCCTGTCCGCCAGTAAAGGTCCGCTCGCCGCACTCCTCTCCCCCCGTCTTCCCTCTCCATCAGTAAAGGTCCGCGCGCCCCACCCCCCCTCCCTCTCTCTGCCAGTAATGGTTCGCGCGACCCCACCCCTCTCTGCCAGTACAGGTCCCCCCCCCTCCTCTCTCTCCGTCAGTAAAGGTCCGCGACCCCCCCCCCCCCCGCCCCCCCTCCTCCCCCTCCTTCTCACCCAGTAATGTCCCGCGCGCCCTTCGCGCTGCACCCACTCCTCTCTCTCCGCGCGCGACGGCGAGTCCTCACATAACTCTTTCCTCCTCGCCGGTTCTCCCGCGCGCTCAAACGGCAAACCCTCACACGCCATTTCCCCTTCCCCGCTCACCACCCATCCCCCGCGTGCGCGCAGACGGCAAGCCGATGATCCGCAACGGCGAGACGGGCGACTGGATCGGCACGTTCGAGGGGCACAAGGGCGCCGTGTGGGGCGCTTGCCTCGACCGCCCCGCGCTGCTCGCCGCCACCGCCTCCGCCGACTTCACCGCGTACGATGCGGGGGATCCAGGGGGGAAGGGGAGGGGGGGCTGGGAGGGGGCGTTGGGGCGTGGGATGGGGGATTGGGAGGATAGGGCGCTGGTCGCCGCCACCGCTTCCGCCAACTTCACCGCGTAGGGGGGAACTAAGGGGAAGAGGGAGATGGGGCGGGCATTGGGGAGCGGAAGCGATGCTTTGGGCTGATTGGCTGGGCGGGCAGCAGCGAGAGTGGTACAGAGTGGTAGGGACTACTGGGACACGGCTACGCACGTACGGAGCAGGATTTCCTCCTCATCCCCCCAACTCCTATCCCCTTCCTTGCAAGCCCGTCCCCGCTATTACGTGCCTCGTTCTTACACCTCATCCCACTCCTCTCCCCATTCCTCTTCCCCCCACCTCATGTGCGCTTCGCTTCCGCTCCGCCGTCCCCAACCCCCACATGCGCGCATCTCCGCGTCTTCCTCCTCTCTCCCGCCCCCCCACCAGGCGCATCTGGGACGCGTTGACGGGCGACGAGAAGCACAAGTTGGAGCACAAGCACATCGTGCGCACCGTCGACTTCTCAAAGGTCCGATCCCCTCTTCTCTGTGAGTTTTTGAGAATTCTCAAAAACTCCCTACAAGCACATCGTGCGCACCGTCGACTTCTCAAAGGTCCGATCCCCTCTCCTCTGTGAGTGCGCTTGGTGCCGCTGCCATGCCATTTCATTCTGCTCGTCTGAGTCGGCTCAGAGCACAAGCACATGGTGCGCACCGTGCACTTGTCCCAGGTCAGCTTGCTGCTCCTCTCTCACGTGCCATGCCATGACATTCCGGGCCTAGCGTTCTTCACACAGAGTCACACCATCTGGGCGACTTGCAGCAGTGCCCTGGGGTTGCAATGCAGAGAGCAGCGAATGATCGTCCTGGATCCGTAGGCCACACGCCCTTATGACGCACGTTTTTCCCACTTTCGCTCCACCCCTCCCCGTTCCTTCCCCTTACCATTCCCGCCTCCCCTCCTTCACTCCGCGTGCATCGTGTGCGCCTATCAGGACTCACGTCAGCTGTTGACGGGCGGGGCAGAGGAGGTGGTGCGAGTGTTCAACCTGGCTCGCCCCGACGCCGGCCCCACGCTGTCGCTGGAGGGCATGGCGGGCCCCGTGTGCGGCGAGGGTGCACAGACGCCTTGAAACGCACAACTGACGCACGCTTTTCACCACGTTTGCTCCATCTTTCCCGCTTCCATCCCCTTTCTACTCTCCTGCCCCCATACCTTGATCCCGGCGCTGATGTTGGTCATCGCAGGACTCCCGACAGCTATTGACGGGCGGAGCAGAGAAGGTGGTGCGAGTGTTCGACTTGGCTCGCCCCGACGCCGGCCCCACACTGTCACTGGAGGGTATGGCGGGGCCTGTGCGCTGCGCCAGGTGGCACAACGACGACCGCTGGATCCTCGTCACCTGCAATGACGTGGCGGGCGTCAAGTGGGTTCAGGAGGGGGTTTGACCCTCAGGGGATGGGCTGGGTTGGGTTGGGTTGGGTTGGGTTGGGTTGAGCGCCTAGGGATGGTGGAGCTCTGTGTGTGTCCAACATCCAAGTGTGACTTGTCGCCTGCTGCTCTCCGTCTCTCTGCTTCACTCCCACCATGCCTCTCACCACCATCCGCTCCCCACTCTCGCTCTCCCTCCTCCCTCTCCCCAAACCCCCCCCCCCCCCCCCCCCCCCCCCCCCTTTCAGGGTGTTTGATGCGCGCAGCAAAGACGTGGTGGGCGTGATGGCAACGGACGGCGCGTGTCTCAGCATGGACATCTCACCTGCTGCTACCGGTGGTGGTGGGGCGGGGGGCAGCGCATTCATCACCACGGCTGATGGCTCCACTGTCAAGATCTTCGATGCGCGCTCGTACGCACCAACCTTAATGCGCCATTGCTCGCGTGCATGACTCGTCGCATGCCGTCATGCATCCATGCCACCATTCCGCCGTCCTGCCCTCATCACCACGGCGGATGGCTCCACGGTCAAGATCTTCGACGCGCCCTCGTACGCCCCCTTCATCCTCAGGGAGGCTGCTTCGTTATTATTCTTCAAACCCTATAGTTCTCCGTCCAAGATTCTTTCTTTCGAAGTGGCTCTACTGTCAAGAGCCTGACGCCCATGCAGGCGAATCCCTTATTTCCCAAGGAGGCGGCCCCATTGTTTTCTTATGCTCTCTCATTCGTTTCCCATCCGCCTCCCCTCCACCCCTCCGTGTTTTGCTGCTCCTGTAGCTGTCGCTTAACGTGCCTCCATGCCTCCATGCTACCATGCCGTCTCATTTTACCATCCCACCATGCATCCATGCCACCACGTGCTGCAGGCTTCAAGAGGTCAAGTCACATCGATTGCCACATCAGGCTGAGTCAGCATCCTATATCCCGTCAACCAATCGGTGAGTGCCATGTTGTTTCCACCCCCGTGCTGTGCTGTGCAATGCGGTGCTATGCTGTGCAATGCGGTGCTATGCTTTGCAGTGCGGTCTTGTGATGCATCAGACTGTTGCTATGCCCCACCCGCCCAGCGCATGCAGACTTTCTTGCAGCTAGCCGATAATCCAAAAGTATCGATGCTCTCTTGCTCTCCGCTCTCGCCGGTCCTTGTTGACACATCCTTGTTGACACATCCTTGTTGACACATCCTTGTTCCACTTGTAGTCGATTCAAACTGTTTCTTTGTGCATGCATGATGCTTTCTGCGGTGCTTACCCTTATCTCCCCAATACTCCTTCCGCCATGTTGTAAACCTGTTTCATGGTCCCTCTCGCCACTGCCTTGAATATATCATGCCATTCCCCTCATCTCGCCAACACCTGCATCTGCTCCATCTGCCCTGTGTGTGTGTGTGCGTGCATGGCAGGTTTGTGGCGGGCGGTGAGGACCTGTGGGTGCGGGTATTCGACTATGAGACGGGCCAGCAGCTAGGTACGGGGTGCCATGTGCCATGTGCCATGCCATTCCATCCACTATCCCATATTATCCACCATGCATACCATGCCCTCTCTTCCCCCGGAGTGCCACAGGGGCCACCACGCCAATGCACTGCATCTGCTTAATCAAGTCAACTCAAACCGTCCTTCCTCTCTTCCTTCGGCTTCTTTCTCCCCGCTTTGCTGCAAATGCGATTCAAAACTTCCTTCCTCCCCATCCCCCTCCTTCCCCCCCATCAGAGTGTCACAAGGGCCATCACGGCCCAGTGCACTGCATTCGCTTTGCCCCCGATGCACTCTCCTACGCATCGGGCTCAGAAGACGGCACCATCCGCATCTGGAAGCTTGCCCCCGCTACTGCTGCTGAAGGTGCTGCTGGTGCTGCTGCTGGTAGTGCTGCTGATGGCGCTGCTAGTGGTGCTGATGCTGCTGGTGCTGGTGGGAAAGGGGAGGGTGGAGAGTGCAATGGAGTGAGTGGGGTGGTGAGGGTGGGGGCAACGGAGGAGGTGATAAAGAAGGTAGAAGGGTTCCATATAGCGGGCTCGTGACCTCCGCGATAGTCCCTAAAGTGGTCCTTTTTAGGTGCATGCGTAGAGAATTTTGCATTTCTGAAATAATATTGCTTTTTTTTTTTTGCGTTGCGAAAAGATAACATTTGCGTATGACAGCCATTCTCATAACAGTTGTTAATTCGCGTGGGGGCTTGTGCTTGGGGGGCGTATACACCTGTTCTCCGATATTTCCACACCCTGAACTTTGATTCTTCCCAGACACCCTACATGGTTTAAGGTTTGATGAGACGGACGCCCTGACATTCCGGGTCTATCAGGAAATAACCACCAGGTCAAGGCCTTTCGAAACTCGAACTTTGTAGTTCGAGTGAGCGGGGAAAATTCCAGTGCCAGATTGTTCCTGCGTTAAGCTCGCATTGAGACTGTGTTACATCAACCCTGAAAATTCTTCGAGCACTGCTAACTACCTTCGAAATCGGTTTTTTCGAGGGTAGGTACCCCAGGTCGTGAAGATAAAGGGTATGGAATCTATCGCAGTTTCGGTGTAGAGGGCGCGAATTTGTTCTGTATGCGCAATTGACCATCCGCGCAACGCCCCACCCTAGCCCTCTCATATCGACCATCCTCGCACTTCGCGCCAGCCGATGCATCGCGCTGCGCGTCTGCCGCTTTCCCGCGCAGCGACTGCGCGCGTCGTCGCATCGCGCGTGTCCGCAAGGCTGCATTGCTGCCGCCTACTCTGCCACGTCACGACGCTCCTTTCAGCGCCATTCCCGGCGGCAAAGGCTGTCGCAGTCGCAGCCACACATTCTTGCGGATCCGCGTTTGCGCCCTCCCCGCTCCGCGCATCGCGCATTCCACGCTTGCCGCTCCGACCATTCTCCTCGATCCCCTCCGAAACATCTGGATTTCAAGCCACGTCATCCAAGTACCCGGCTGCCACGTCAGCCTCCACCTCCCTTCCCTCCCCACACCAACCATCCGCGCCCCTTCCGCCCATGGCCGCGTCTCCGCTCCCCCTCCCCCACCCCCCACTCCCCGCGCGCCGCTCTCTCTCCGCCTGTGGCGGGACGCGCGCAGCCAGCGCGTGGCGCAGGCGGCGGCGTATCACCCGTTCGTGCTGGCGCTGGGCGCGGGCACGCTGCCGCGGCGGCGCTTCGTGCGCTACTCCCTGCAGGACGCCTTCTTCCTCTCCGCCTTCGCTCACTCGTGAGTGCGCCCTGCCTGCGTCATTGGGTCTTTGAGTGGACTGAAACGTTGCTGCTTGCTGCGCGTCTCACTCGGTACCTTGTCCTCCCATGTCCGGCCCACATTGCCTTGACTGCATCGCATGCCACCGTATGGCGTGGGGTTTTCATGGCATGGGTAGGTACGGCGCGGCAGCGTCGCTACTGGATGGGGGCGAGGAGGACGGCACGGGGGGAGCGGGGGGAAAGGATGGGGCGGCGGAAGGGGAGGAGGAGTTGAGTGTGCGGGCGGTGGTGCAGTGACTGCAGAGGGAAGCGGATGGGGAGCTGCAGATGCATGCTGCTACTGTCAAGGTGGGTACACCGTACGACCTTGCTCAGTGCTGCCGTGCTGTCATGCATGCTTGCAAATACTGATCCACGCATGCGCGCATACATGCACCCACGCATGTTCCCCAAGAAACATCGCATCTCTTCAATCGCTCCTCACCACACCGCACCGCACCACACCACACCCGCCACGTGTGGCAGGCATGGATCGAGGAGTCAAGCGACTCACAGGCTGCTGACGCCACTGCTGACGCCACTGCTGACGTCACGGCGGACAGTGCCCCCCTGCCTGCCACACTAGAGTACACGTCGTTCCTCTCGCATGTGGTGGCGGGGACGAGGGGCGTGTGGCACTCCCATGGGCTGGGGTCACCGGGCGAGCAGGACGAGAGCAGCGCAGGGCAACGTGCGTGCGAGCAGGGGAGTCATCACAACCATGTGCCCCACAGCAGCAGCAGCGAATCGGTGGTCCTCTCACGGCCTGCTGACTGGATAGCTGAGAGCGATCGCTCATCCCCCGCAGCGCGGCGGTGGCACACGCTGTGTGTGCTGGCCGCCATGCTGCCGTGCATGCGCCTCTACGCTTCAATCGGACACACCATGGGCGGCGCTGCCTGGGGGCTGCACGCTGCAGCAGCGGGGGGAGTGGGTGGAGCGGAGGAGGGGGAAAGGGGAGGAGGGGGAAGCAGCGAGGTGGGGGTGAAGGGCAGGGGGGGTGTGTCGGAGGATTGGCGGTGGCACCCGTACGGCCAGTGGTTACACACCTACTCATGCCCGGGCTTTGAGGTGAGCCTGCACCGCTGTGATGCTCGTGTGCTGCCATGATGGACTCAGAATCTCTTTGAGAGTTGTCAAAAGTGACTCCATGCTGTGGGAGTGGGATATGCAATGGCACGGTGTCATGGTGTGCCACGCCACACCACTCCTCATTCCCTCCTTACTGCCTCTCCACCATGCCTGCGGTGCTGCAACCCCCTCCCCATGCTGCCCTGCCCGCTGCAGGCAGCAGCAGCGCTGTTGGAGTCCGCATTCGACCGCCTCTGGTCGCTGCACCTGCGCTCCCTGCACCCCTCGTGCGCGCCCTCATCCCCTATCGCACTGCAGCAGCAGCAGCACGTGGCAGAGCAGCACCTATCGCGGGTATACAGCAGGGCCATGCAGTTAGAGCTCTCCTTCTTCCACGCCCAGCTCGCTCCCTTCCCTGCCACACCACCGCCGCCGCTGCCGCCCCCCCACGCGTCCGACGCCCCACCCTCCCTCCCAGCATGGCCGGGCAATTTCCACCTTGCTTCCCAGGAAGGGGCGAGGGCAGGCAGGGAGGCGTCAGGAGGAGGAGGGGAGGCGGGCGGTGAGGGGACAGCAGCGGGCGTGGTGTTTGTAGTGGACTTTGACGGCACGTGCACCGTGGACGACTCCAGTGCCCTGCTTGCCCGCCTTGCCCTCGCCCACGCCGCTCCCGCCGGTAAGGGCATTTCTAACAACGATGATGCAGCTGCTGCTGGTGGTGGTGAGTGTGGTGGCTGCAGGCAGCAGGTATGGGACGACCTAGTGCAGCGGTATGTGCGGGACTACTCTGACTTCATGCACGCCCATCTGCCACCCGCTCATGCTCACAGGGACAGCAGCAGTAGCAGCAACAGCAACAGCAACAGCAGCAGAAGCAGCAAGCAGGGAGGGGATGAAAGCAGGGAGAGCAGCAGCACCGCCGGCAGCACCCCCGCCCACCTCCCTCCCGGCCTCCTCCCCTTTCTCCACCGCCTCTCCTCCTTCGAGGCCGCGGCCAATCAGCGCGTGACAGGTGTCGCCGCCCTGCAGGGCATCCCCCGGAACGCCATGCTGGCAGCGGCCAGGGAGGCTGCTGACGTGGCGGAGGGGGAAGGGGTGGGGCAGGGCCGGGGGAGCTTCAGGTCTGGATGTGGGCGAGTGCTGCGGCGAGTGGAGGGGGAGGGTGGTGTGGTGCAGGTGGTATCCGTGAGTTGGAGTGGGGCGTATGTGGGGGAGGCTGTGAGGCATGCCATGCGGATGGCAGGGGGGAAGAGGGGTGAGGAGGGGACGCAAGAAGACAAGGCAGAAGGAAAGGAGGGGGAGACAGAGTGCGGAGAGAAGATGTGCAGTGGTGGGGGGCCGGAGGGAGGAGCAGGAGTGGGCAGCAGAGTGGTGGTGAGAGCGAATGAGATGGAGTTTGATGAGCGCGGTGTGTCCACAGGTGCTGTGAACTTCCAGGTGCAGGGAGCCATGGATAAGGATGTTATCTTCCATGCTCTCACCCACGACACACTGCCACACACCACCTCAAAGCACGGCAATGAGGCGGCACCCGCATCAGCATCAGAAGCGGCACCAGCGGCGGCAGCACCAGCATCAGCAGTACCAAGCTCAGGGATGGCAGCAGCACCATCACCATCCGACCCCCCCATGTCTCCTGCCCTTCCTCCCTCGCTGTTCATCGGAGACAGCACAACAGACCTGCTGCCGCTGCTGCGAGCACAGGTGGGCGTGGTGATGGCAGGTGGGGCATCCAGTCTAGAAAGGGTCATCCACGCCTTTGGTGTCCACCGCCTGCCACTGGTGGCGCTGGCTCTGCTGCACATGCAGCAAGGGGCGGCGGGAGAGGCGAAAGTGAATGGGGAGGGGTGTGTGGGTGCCCGCCGTGTGATGGAGGTGGCACCATGGACGCTGCTTGATGCGAGCTGCTGGGAGGAGCTTGAGGTGTTCCTCTTTGGCATTCATTTCACTGACTTTGATAGCCAGTGGTCTGGCTACTAAGCGTTATAGTGGAGTTTTCTTATTTATTATAGCACTTCAACATCAGGGATTGAGAGCTTACAACACATTTATACACATGCAAAGCATCACAGTTTGGACAGCAGGAGCTAGCAGAAGCATGACAAACATCTGGTTGGAAGGGAACGGGGTAAGGGCAACAAATCGAAACAAACTGAATCAATGGGGAGAACGCATGCTGGTTGCCCCTGTGCCTGAGCTCGTGCCTGTGATGCTAGTGCCTGTTGGTACAGCTTTGCCGTTGCCGTTGCCTGCAGCAGTCCTTGCCCTTGTTGGCGCTGCTCTAGTCAGTTGCTGGTACAGCCTTGCAGCGGGATAACTCCTTCAAACTTAAAAAAATTCACGTGACCATCTGTTCCGCGCTTGCATTATCCCCGCAATTCACGCCGGCTGAGTCGTCGTTATCTGCGCATGATGGCTCGTTCGACGGTGTGAGCAGCCAGCACGGTGGACGCAGCGGCCTTCCAGAAATCCTGGAACGCCATGTTGTGCTGCTGCCACCTGTTCTCGAGCTCCACGCGAGGGCCCCATTGCTTGAGCGACTGGCGCCACGACGATGTGCCGTTGACGGCGTGCTGCCACCCGCTCCTCGCCGCCACGTCCAGCGCGGGAACAACCGTCCCGCCGGCGAACTTGACGGCCTTGTCCCCCGCGTAGAAAGCAGCTGCGAGGAGAGAAAGGAAGAAAGAAGGTTACAGGCGCAGCAATGAGATTCAAGCGCAAGTGCAACTGTTGAAAAAGGAAGAAAAAAAAAAACAGAACAAGTCAAAGCGTCAATTCTGCTCTGCGTACCATCGCATGGCAATCTCGCGAAATCGCTGGCGGGGAGACCAATTCCGATGCCGATGAGAGTGACCCCAATGTTAAAGCCCACGCCGCACCCCGCACCCACGTATCCGACCACCTCTGGACCGAAACCCGGACCCCATCCCACGCCGCACCCCAAGCCGAGGCCGAATCCCCAGAAAGCGCCGACCGTAGGATGCACTGGGTTCCACCGCTTGTACTTCCGGTATAGATGGATAAGCGTCATGCAGATAGCAGAGGTGACCCAATTCCAATTTATTTTTATCAAGATACACGCACACCACAAAATACAGTTTTGACAGGTTGACTTGGTTCTTGGACACCAATAACTGGAGAGGGGACAGGAGCTGCTGGGCTCAGGTACTCTCAAGTAGGGCTCACACAATGCAGTAGACACAGGTGTGGTAGCGAAGTGCTTGGCATTGATGATGTGGTTGGGACCGGTGGTGCTGAGAGGCGAGGAAAGGAGAGGAGTTCCTCGGGCACGTCGCATAGAGCAAGGAGAATCCGAGGGATAAGGGCAACGCTGGGAGAGAGGAGAGTGGTGAGGAGACGAAGCACCGACGCCGAGAGGTTTCTTGTCACGCTACTTGACGGAACGGGCTTGTTGGGATTATTTGTTCTGGGCAAGTTGGATATCAGGCTGCTTGATTGGCTCCAGGCAGGAAATTTCAAAAGAAGGGCAGATGAAACATTCACAGGGATCTGGATGGTGGGTGAAATTCATCATTTTCCGTTTCGTCGTCAGTTGCAACTGTCGAGAACACGTCCGTCAGAGGCTCACGATTGTTCTTCACCTGCGAGTGTGACAGTATTGTGTGCTGCACTGGCAGAACATTCCTGCTTGCTGACTCCGCAACGCACAAATGTAACCAATGAAATAGCGGTTTCTGCCTCATCCGATACCGAGTGGCTGCTGATAGGGCGGAGGACTATCCCTGTTGGACGACACCTCCAAAAGGTAACGTCACGTGCCAAGCTGTGCCACGAAGGCAGGTAGAATCTCCACGCTAAAAGGTCGAATCACACACGTCCTGCTATTCACCCCGCACCTGGTTAAATTCATGAACAAGCCACTCTTGGAACACTTGTTGAACACTGGAATATTGGACTGTTTCTTATAGAATCCTAGATTGAATACCTTCACTACTAGGTAGAACTCAAGTCAGAATGGTACTAATGGATTCTAGCATCTATGCGCCTGACAGGTGCTTTCCGATAGTGTGAGAATGATAGTCACTGTGCAGTGATTTAGTAGGCCGCAGTGGATTCCTCACCTCTGGGTGCATCCTCAGGAGAGCCCGAGGTTAACGTAGTGACAAAAGAAAATGTTTAGCGTCTACTTTAATAATTGGATTCACAAATCAAAACTACAAGGCCTAATTGCTCGTATGGCCACACATGGAAGTCTGTAGAAAAAGTGACGAGTAATCTAAAACCTAGGCCAGCCACCAAATAGCACAGATGGCGGAGAGTAGGCACGCACGCAGGGCAGCGTGGTAGGTAGGAGCAAAGATAAGGGCTGTGGTCGTCAAGTGGTTTGTGAATGCAGGACATGGTGCAAGTGATGATGGGGATAGTCAAATGGCAACAGCAATCCATGGAAGTGCAGCATGATGCTGATGATGGGAGCAACCAAGAAATGTGATAGCAAATGGAGGTGCTTCTATAATGGGTGTTAATGCAGGTGCATGACATGCAAACCTGGAATGCGAAAGTTGGTGATGCCATACATGTGAAACCAACTTTCACATGGTGCAGGAATGGAGATGCAGCAACCATGGTGCAAGAGACACATGCATCACAGGCTGACAGACATGCAGACACATGGTACCAACCACTGACACATGTAATGACATGGCATGACAGAAGCAGTGCAATGGCAGCGTCAGCCTGCGATGTTGGGAAATGGAGGTAAGGGGGAGAGGAGAGGAATCACGAAGGGCTGAAGAAGTATGTGGGCACACAAACAAACGCTGAAGAAGTATGTGGGCACACAAACAAACGCTGAAGAAGTATGTGGGCAATGGGCATACAAACAATTGCTGTCATTGCAATCCCTGCAAACGACATGCATTCCCCCCTCCCCAACCACCCCTTCCCTCCCTACTACCTTCCCCTCTCCCTGCTCTCCCCTTTCCCTTCTCCCTCCTCCCTCTCGTATCCCGTCATCGCACTCACCCTAACAACACATGCGTGAAAGCGGGTCAGTCAGAGTCACTGGAGGAGCGCGAGCTGTTGGACCTGCCATGGCGTCATGCGATCAGTCACGAGGGCCATGGGGGAAGGGGCGGAGGGAGGAGGGGGGAAGAGAGGCATGAGACGGGAGCAGAGAGAGCTCAGGGGGGGGATGGCATGGCATGGTGTGCTGTGCGCTGCCAGTCAGAGCACTGCCACGCCTTTTTTCAGGGGGAAAGGGGGAAAGGCAGCGAGAAAGAGTTATGGCCCATTGCATGAGCAAGAGGAATAGAATGGCACGTCGTAGGCCAAGAGGGAAGTAAATGCTTGCATGGCACGAGCTTGCCGCATGGCATGGCCATGGCATGCCCTGCTTGCGCTTCAAACCAACATTGCGGCACCTCAGGCAAACAGCACCTCCAATCGCTCCTCCCTGTGTATGCCCACCCGCCTCTTTTCCCCTAAAAACAACTCCCCCTAACTACCAGCGGGGTGCCCTGAGGGGATCAGGCGCCTGATTGAAGCGTGCTGGGCGAGGGACCCTGCAGAGAGGCTGGACTCACACGCACCGTCACTCCCTCTCTTCCTCTCCCCCACTCATTCTCGCTTCTCCTCCGTTATTCAGCTGCACTCCAGAGCTCTCACGGCTCACCTGCTGGGGCTGCTCTTGGCTGCCCGCTTGCGAGGAGGCGACCTCTGCACACCAGGATAAGGGGGCAGGGCAATGTTTGCAGTGGAAGGCGGGGAATGGATGAGAAGAGGAGCACGGAAAGCGGTACATTCAAGAGCACGCAGTTGAGAAACCTCCATGCGTGTAGGCAGGCAGCACCAGTCTGTCAAGATTCCCAGCCAATCATGGCCCACACTGCACAGAACAGCCACATCTCGCCAGGATCAACCCGCTCCCCCCATCCGCCCTTCCCCGTGCAGTGCTGCAACACACCCACCCCAATCTCAAGCCCAGATGTGCCTCTCCTCCCCCCACCCTTCCCCCTTTCACTCACCCGGCGCCGGTCGCCGTCGGACGAGGAAGTGGCGGAGGAGGACGAGGGCGACTCTGACCGCGCCCTCTTGGGCGGAGGGGAGCGATCCGGCCTGCACGGGGGACACAAAGACACGGAGGGAGTCACGCGATTGAGGATAGAGGAGCGTAAGGCACAAGGACAGGAATGAGTGAAATGCTAGGCTGGAGGGAGAAGATGAGGGGAGGGACAGGGAGTGAGCAGACGAGAGAGCGGGAGAGTGGATGGGGAGTGAGGAGAGGGATGGGATGAGCTCAAACAAAAGCATCTGGAAAGAGGAAAGAGGTGGGAGAGAAGGAAGAGGTGGGGAGCATAGGAGTGGGAGGAAGAGGTGGGGAGCATAGGAGTGGGAGGAAAAGGTGGGGAGCAAGGAGGTGGAAGGAAGAGGTGGGGAGCAGACCTGCGGGTGGGTGGTGGTGGTGGCAGGCGCTGGCGTCGAGAGGGCGGGGAGCGCGAGCGTGTGCGGGAGCGGGAGCGGCGGCGCATTGGGCCTGGGCTGGAGCGACGAGCCGGGGGCGAGCGGCGAGGGGGGGAGGGCCGACGCGCGGGGGAGGAGCGGCGGCGAGGGGGGGGCGACCTGGGATGGGGGAAGAGGGAGAAGAGGGGGAAGAGGGGGAAAGGGGAGGAGCAGATGAGGGAGTGACGTGGATGTGAGTGTGTGGTTGAGTGGGTGACAGTGCGCATGCATGGATAACGGGGAACAAGTGGAGAAGCGGAAAGGAGGTGCGGAAGTGGAAGCAAGAGGAGGAATTGGATGGCAGGAGGCATAGTAGGGGGAGAGGTTGGTGAGGCTTTGGAAATGGGGCGACGAGAATATAGCTCGTAAGTCAAGGTGGGTAAAGCGTGGAAGGTGGGTAAAGCGTGGAAGGTGGGTGAAGCGTGGAAGGTGGGTAAAGCGTGGAAGGTGGGTAAAGCGTGGAAGGTGGGTAAAGCGTGGAAGGTGGGTAAAGCGTGGAAGGTGGGTAAAGCGTGGAAGGTGGGTAAAGCGTGGAAGGTGGGTAAAGCGTGGAAGGTGGGTAAAGCGTGGAAGGTGGGTAAAGCGTGGAAGGTGGGTAAAGCGTGGAAGGTGGGTAAAGCGTGGAAGGTGGGTAAAGCGAGGAAGGTGGGTGAGCAATGTGAGGAGGTTGCGGAGAGGGTGGGATGGGCAGTGGGGCGGGAGGGTGGAAAAGGTGGGAGGGAGGGAAGGGTGAGAAGGGTGCGTGGGGTGGGGACGGTAGGGAAGGTGGGGAGTGTGGGGAGGGGGGGGTGGGGAGGATGGGGAGAAGGGAGAGGGCGGTACCTGCGGCCGCGGAAGGGGATGGGGGAGCGGCGTCTGGGAGGGCTTCTCACGCGGCGAGGGGGAGAGGCACTGCGCTGCCTGCGAGGGGGGGAGCTGTTGGGCGGGGAGAGGCGGAAAGCGAGGGGCGCAACACAACCACGGGGAGCAGGAGATGCAGGGGACACACTGGGTGAGCCACGCATCAAACACCAAATAGTCCTGACAATGGCTTTGTTCCGTGCCTTTCCCTTCCACGCCCTTTCAAGTGAGCACATGCGCTCCCATGCCCTACCACGATTCACGCCCTCTCATTCCGCATGCTTCCTCTCACGCACTCCCATGCTCCCAACGCTGCCCGATCGAGACCCTTCACGTTTCGGCGCTCAGCAGCCAGCCAAAGCGTCATTCCCCAAACCAACCCACTAAAAGGTTGCTATCCGCGCTGTCTCCCGTCCCCCGTCCGCCCTGACCTACCGCACGGGCGAGCGCCTCCTTCCCCCTCGGGGCGGGGACGGCGACCTTCCCCTTGCGCCGCCTGCTCTCCCGGGGGACCTCCGCCGCGGCGACACCCCCCTGCCTCCCCGCTCGCCCTCCCTGCCCCGCTCCGCCTCCGCCCCCCTGTCCCCTCTGTCCCTGTCGCTCGGCCTGTCGCGGTCCCGCACGTCCGCACGGCGGCGCGGGGGGGAGTCGACGGCGCGGCGAGGGGGGGGCGGGGGGAGCGGTTCTGGGCGGCGCACGGGCTTTGGCGCGAGCACGAACTGCGCGCTCACCACACTGCCGTCGATTTGCGCCTGTCGGGGATGCGCGGCGGAGAGGGGGAGGGGGGGGGGGGGGGGGGAGGGGGGGGATGGAGGGGGAAGGAGGGGAAAGGGATGGGGAAAGAATCAGGATGGATGTGGAAGGATGAAGGGGGATAGGTAGCAATGAGTGGGGTTGAAAAGGGATGAGGCATGGACTGGGACTCAGAGGGATCGGAAACATTAACGTGCATTGCGCTCACTCACCCCATCCATGTGCAGGCGCGCCTTCTCCGCATCGGCGCGCTTCTTAAACTCCACGTACCCGTAGCCCTTGGGCAGATTCACCTGCGACGACGCAGACACGACGAGGAAGGAACGGCGGCACACAAGCGAGCGGGTGAGAAAGGAAAGGAGCAGAGACGGCAGCGAGACATGAGCAAAGGAACGCGTAAGGAAAAGGCAGAGAAGGAGGCGACAAGGATGGCGGAAGAAGGAGAGGGAGGGAAGGCAGCGGGGAGAAGGCGAGGGCGACTCACGACGCGGTCCATAGCAATCTCCACCTTGCTCAGCTCGCCGTACAGCCCTGCACGCGCGCGCGCGCACACACACACACACACACAGGTCAGGGAGAGCCACGGCCGATGCGTGATAAGACGACACTACAGATTGTTGTTCTTTTTTTTTTTTTTAAGGACGCGAAGCGTAAGGACATCCGCACGGCACGTGGCCGTGCGGTGCGGTGCGGTGCGGAGCTCACCGAATATTTCCCGCAGGTGGTCCTGGTTGACGTTGCGCGTGAGGCAGCCCACGTACAGCATCGTCGTCTCGGGCGTCGCTGACCGCTTCCTGCCGCCATGCGGATATCGGGTTGGAGATATGGGTGGGGGAACGGGTCGGGGATGAGTGCGAACGCACTAGCACATGGGGAGTGAAAGAGACGAGCACATGCGCACGACGAACAGATACTAAGTTACGAGGTATTAGGGCGTGACGACGTGTGCACGCGGCTATGCTAGCACACCTGTCATTGGGCGACGGGCTTCGCTTCTTCTTGCTCGACTCTGTCGTCGGCCTCGCACTGCACGACAGGGATACGCGCGCACGACACACGATTGCACACACTTGGTTCCAAATACCGTGAACCCCCAAAACCTAATCACTGAGATTCCTAAACGGGAAGTTACACTGAAGGAGAACGCTTCGCTAGACGATTCGAGATTGAGAGAGAGAAAATGAAGAGGCGATGTTCAACAATCCACGGTCACCAACAATCCTGGATTGAGAAACGGAACATAGACGAAAAGATGACCCGCGATCAACGCACGGACCCTTTCTTAGGCGGCGGGCTGCGGCTTCTGGACGAGGCTGAGTCGGAGCGAGAGGGCGACGCGGAGGAGCGCGAGCGAGACGAGCCGGAGTAGGAGGAGGGCGACTTGGACTTCGAGTTGGACTTGGACTCCGACGACGACTGCTTCGCCATGGCTCCGATAGCCTGAAATACAACACGATCTACTTGTTTGGAGCAGCGAACTGCTCAGCCTAGCAACGCGATGCAGCTGCTGACAGCACCAGGCATTACCACCTAAGATACTATTGATTATCTAGTAATTGACGGCGTTGGTGAATGGTGGAAACTTACATGGAATGGAGGAAGCCAGTCGGTCCTGGCGATCTGGATGGGCTTCAGTTTAGACTGGGAGAAGGCCTTCTCGAATCCTCTACATGTGGTAGTGTAAGGAATTTTCTCGGCATTCCTTATGGAGCCCCACTACATCGCGTACAGCAACAGCCGTTGTTCGCCCGGTACTGCTAACGGGGCTTCGCCGAATTCGCGCGCACTGTTTCACCAAACCTCGCACTACTGGCCTGGCCGTGTCGGCCTACGCTTCGGGACTAGCCCGAGCCTCGCTCCAGCGTAGCACTAGCTAGCTCGCACGCACCGCGTTACCGTTTGCATATTTCGCATATAAATGTTCGCTCATGCCTTCGCTCACATTTTGTACTCGTTTGACACCTTAGTGCAATCCTCGCTACTTTGATTCATTGCACCCGTAACACTTGGTATCAGAGCCCCTTTCTTTCGGACCGCGCATCTCCGCACCCCAGGAAATCAACTTTTGATTTTTCACTCGAAGGGACTCACGTACCTTAGCACCTAGGAGCCGCTGTCCTCGCGTTCTCTCGTAAACGCGTGCAGCCACGACTGCGCCTACACTAAGACGAGCCGACGCCCTTCGAAATGGCTGAACACATCGACGTCACGACTCTCACACAGGAGCACTTGAACGATCTGCTGCGACAAATCCGCGAGAGCGCCGAGGAAATCGCGACGCTGATGGCAGAACGCTCGTCCCTGCAAAACGACCTCACACGAGCACAATCCCAAGCACCTGGCACTCCGATTCAGCCCGCACCACAAACATCACAGCACGGAAGTGTAGGGCAACCCGCGAGTGCCGCAAGTGATGGCGTCGTCCGCCATGACGGAGACGACGACCACGGCACGACACACCCCGACACGACGAATGCGGCCAGGACTCAGCCTCAAGTCACGATTTCAGTGCCGGCCGGCGGATCAACTCTTCCGTCGCCGATGCCGCTAAAGCCGCAGCGTCCGCCATGCTTTGACCCAAGTCAGCGGGGTGGTCCTACCGTTCAGGCGTGGCTCTTCACGTTGAACGTTTTCTTCGACGCGAACTACGTCTCGGAGGATACGGCGAAGATTCGTTACGCCGTGTCGTTGCTGCGAGGACCCGCCATGGACTGGTGGCGCGTCATCGTCACGAAGCCGGCGGACTACGCAACTCTACCGACAAGGGAAGGACAAACCGGACCCTGGGCGCCGTCCTATTTCGTGGAGGTGCCCCAGTATCGCACGTGGGACGCGTGGTGCGTAGGTCTGCGCGCTCGTTTCGAGCCAATCGCGGCTTCGATCGCGGCGCAACAGAAGCTCCGCACTTGGCGCCAACTCGATTCCGTCCAAGATTACACGAGCGGATTTCTGGCGCTATGCGAGCAAGTGGGATATATGCACGAGAGCGAGCGCATCGACCGCTACATCGGCGGCCTGAAGCAGGACATCGCTCAGGAAATCCAGCTCCGCGGCGTCACCGACTTTCAAGAAATTCTCGCCATGGCGGAGAAACTTGATTTCTTCCGCCGACCGAGACCGGGGTCCTACGGAAGCAGCCATTGGGGACATCGGCCTCGTGGGACAAACGAGGGCGCCACGATACGTGCCGTCGCCGCAAATGCCGCTGCCGCACCGTTCAAAGGGCGCTGCTTTGCGTGCAATCGGCCGGGACATCGCAAGAGCGAATGCCCAGAAAACGCTAAGAGAAAGGGGGAAGCTGAGCAGCAGAAACAGACCAAGCAGCAGGGAAACGCTGGGAGTCAGCAGCAGACGGGCCCTCTACTGACAGGTCACGCCGCTCGCCCGACCCAACCGACCCTCACCGAGTGATTGTGCCGGTTCACGCAATCGACCACACTCGGCCGAATAAGGAGGGGACTACGGTAGACAGCCCCATACTGCTTAGTGGGAAAATCGGGACGGACTTAGTAAAAATCTTCGTAGACGGGGGAGCCAGCCACAGCCTCATCAACACTGCCACAGCACGAAAACTGCGACTGCCACTGGACAGATGCTTACCTGAAATCGACGCAAGACTGGTAGACGGCACGCCGCTGGCGATACGGGAACGCGTAGACCGGGTTCGGATTCGATGTGGGGGTAACTTCACGTTTAGCCAGGAAATGCTCGCAACGACCCTCGACGGAACCGATGTTTTACTCGGGCGTGATTGGTTGCGACGACACAATCCGCGAATCGACTGGACGACGGGTGACTGCACCGTGCGAGTGAACAGTAACAACATCGCCTTACCTCGCTGGGGCTCACCTGAGTCTTCGTCGGTGCGTGTCAACGCGATCACGATGAAACGCGCCGTAGCGGCAGGAGCTGACGTGTACGCGGTCGACATTCGGGAAGCCGAGGCAGCAGACAAAGGAGGGGATTTACAGAAACTGCTGGCTGACGTACCGGGTGACCTGGCAGCACTGTTGAAGCAGTACAGCGACATTTTCCCGGACGATTTACCGACGGGACTGCCACCTCAGCGACCGCACGACCACAGGATAGAGTTAGAACCGGGGGCACAGCCAACAGTACAGCGACAGTTCCGACTGACCCAGCCCGCACTGGACGAACTGAGGAAGCAGCTCGATTACCTGCTCGAGAAGGAATTCATTCGCCCTGGTTCGTCGCCCTTCGCAGCACCGATACTGTTCACACCGAAAAAAAGACGGGGGATTTCGCATGTGCATAGATTAAAGAGCACTGAACAGGGTTACCATCAAATCCCGTTACCCCATCCCGCGAGCCGATGAACTGATCGACCAACTGCGCACAGCCCGGGTTTTCTCGAAAATCGACCTCCGAGGGGGTTACCACCAGATTCGCGTCAATCCGCCCGACTACCCTAAGACCGCATTTCGAACACGCTACGGATCCTTCGAATACACCGTCATGCCCTTCGGACTGACCAACGCCCCCGCCACGTTTCAAATGACCATGAACGAAGCTTTCCGCCCGCTCTTAGATAAGTGCGCCATCGTATACCTGGACGACATACTGATCTACAGCCCTGACAGAGCACAGCACTTACAGGACATCGAAGCAGTTTTTAAAATACTGAGTGGGAACCGCCTACTGACAAAAGCGTCTAAGTGTGAGTTTTTGCAGGACCGCCTGGAATTTTTGGGACACGTTATTTCAGCTGCAGGAGTGGAAATAGACCCGAAGAAAATCGCGACGATTCAAGCATGGCACGCGCCGACCAACTTGACCGAGTTGCAGAGTTTTTTGGGGTTCATCAACTACGTGCGCCGGTTCGTCCCCGACATGGCGAAGCTGACTGCCCCGCTGACAGACCTGCTGAGGAAGGGGGTTGAGTACACGTGGGGGGAGAAAGAGCAAGCTGCCTTTTCGGCCCTCAAAAACATTTTGTGCTCACCGCCCGTGCTTCACATCGCAGATCCACACCGTCCGTTCGAGCTCGTCACTGACGCAAGTGACATCGCTGTGGGAGCAGTACTGTTGCAGGATTTCGGGAACGGCCTCCAGCCAATCGCGTACGAGTCCCGCAAGCTGCACCCGCCCGAACGCAATTACCCGATACACGACCGCGAAATGTTGGCGATCGTGCACGCGTTCAAGGTTTGGCGGTGTTACCTGACTGGCGCCGACGTGACAGTACGGACAGACCACCGATCACTACAGTACTTACGCGCCCAACCGAATCTCAATCCACGACAGATTCGCTGGTTGGACTACCTCGAGTCCAACTTCCACTACACGGTTACCTACAAGAAAGGCGCATCCAACATCGCTGACGCACTCACCCGCCCTACCGCCCAACTCCACGCCATCCTACTCGCCCAGACCAACCCACTTTTAACAGGCCTATTTACCCACGGATACCGCACTGACCCATTCTTCACGACCGGAAATTCACAGCAACTGGCAGAAGCTAAAGGAGTTAATTACGTAAAAATAGGCACCAACCGCATCTGGGTATCCGCGTACTCACTACTGAGGGAGCTACTACTGTAGGAGGCACACGACGGAATTACCTCGGGACATTTTGGGGTAGAAAAAACGCGACAGCAACTGCAGCGGTGTTACTACTGGCCGGAGCTGTTGACCGACGTGCAGCAGCACGTGGGCTCGTGCCCCACGTGTCAGGTGATGAAGAGCTCAAGGAAGCGGAAGGCGGGTCGATTGCAGCCGATACCACCGCCCGAGCGCGCCTGGCAG